AAACACCTGTTTGATGCTATATTTATTGTATTCCGGATTTTGTTTTTTACCCATGTTACCCAAGGTTAGTAAAATTTTAAACAAGTCTGAGTTATCTAGTCTGTGTTTTGGTCCAAAACAAGGGTGAAGAAAGAAAAGAATCTTTAAAATGTAGAAACCAGCTGTCTTTTCCTGGCTCAGATGACATGGTTCCTGGAGGGGAATTGAGATCGTATCTACAGCTTGAATTTTTTTTTATTTTTTTTTATAGAAAACAAGCAGAAAAAAAAAACAAAGCAACATACTAAACACAACACCATCGCATTAATCTAGCTAAGTGTAAACAGCAGTAAATACTAAATATTCAATGTTGTTGTGCAGCACGCAGGACAGATGTGCGTCGAAGTAGCAGCCAAGAAAGGTGTAATTTGGGTCTACGAGCAGTGAACACCCGTGTGCATACCTGTGTGGATCCGCGCGCTTGCATTCCAAAGGTTTCTCCATGTAATGATCTGCTAGGGAATTCTGATTCGATTAGTAATTGCAGTTTGGTATTATATCAGAAAGAAGGTATTATTTTGACTGACATATTCAGTTCACTATCTTTTCTCCCACATTTACGCAACAAATCCTAACTGTTCGCTAAAAAGGAAATCTGTGTGTGCATGTTTGTGCAATGCTTGGTTTTAGAAGTAACTGACTTTATTCAGTTATGGATTATTTCAATACATTTCTGTAGATGTTACACTTAGCCTCCTTTTGGGCATGCAGTACATCTTTTTGACCTGCATGTCCCTGACCAGGTATAAACCAGGACCTTTTGGATGTCAGTAACATGGCGCAGTGGAGGCCGATGCTGTATGCAGTAGCCTTTCTTCACAGCACAGTTCAGGAGAGAAGGAAATATGGCCCCTGGGATGGAATATTCCCTATGAGTTCAACCAGGCTGATTTTAATGCCACTGTCCAGTTTGTTCAAAACCATCTTGATGACATGGATATTAAGAAGGTAGGTAGAGTAATGCTTATTATTCTGTGTGATTAGGACTCTTGACCATAAAAAAATGTTAAAAGGGTTGAGATTTAAAGAAAGGATATTGTAAATACTTATCAACAACAGCCATCTGCTGGGAGTTTTAGAGCTTTCTGACTGTGTATGTATTCAGTCTGCTCACAAATTATATTGCACATTCATGAACAATTTTTTTGTCATCCTTTATCACTGTTTTATCATCTCCTTAGGGTGTGTCCTGGAACACAGTTCGATACATGATTGGAGAGATTCAATACGGTGGTCGTGTGACCGACGACTATGACAAGCGCCTCCTCAACACCTTTGCCAAGGTGTGGTTCAGTGAGGAAATGTTTGGACCTGCATTTAGCTTCTACAAGGGCTACAGCATCCCAAAGTGCTCCAGTGTTGACCAGTATCTAACATACATTCAGGTCAGTCTCTAAAAATAAGACATTTCTTAGTGGCAACGTGTCTGCCAGAACTCCCACTGTGTCAGTGACTGAAAATTCATCTGTTTCCAGACTATTTCTCTTTTTTTCTCACTCAAAGTTAAGTTCTGTGATATACAGTGTTGGGTAAGTTACTTTAAATGAGTAACTTAGTTACATTACTAGTTACTTCTATCAAAAGTAACTCAGTTACTTCAAGTTACTCGTTACTTTCAGAGTAACTAGTTACTAGGAAAGTAACTTTGGTTTTACTCAGAATTCTCTTGTTAATGTGTTGCTTCCGTAACTGGATACCCAGCAAGATTCTTCTTCTAGCTTGCTTACTTACCACAAGTGCACTGTGCCACCTACCAATAGAAAGGAAAAAATAATGTGCACATTTCCACGAGAGAAATCCCACGCCTGATTCTATCCTAGCCTGCTTTTTACATCCAACACAAAAACTGCAGTCGTGGTGCTTTCGATTGTACTCAGAACTCGGAAATTCTGCCTTCTGAATAGGAAGATGTAGGTAACACCAGACTGCAGATGAGCTGCATACAGGGCTGGACTGGGACAAAAAAATCGTCCCGGGCATTTTGACTAGAGACCGGCCCACCATTATAGGAAAAATCATAAAGCCTTTGAATGAAAATAAATACTGTTGTGACAGTGATGTACACTGTTCTGATGGTATATATGCATCAATCTATCAATTGTTTGTTGTAAGACTCAGATAATTATTTTTTAAAAGTGAGACATTTTAAATGAGAATAAGAAGTATTCCTTGTGCCCCCTTTCCCTTTTAATTCCCTACATGGACCCCTGGCAACACTTTGCTAGACCCGCCCCTGCACAGTTACCAGCTGTCAGCTGCTTAGAAAAGGATCCTGGTGTTATTTATCTCTCAGAAACAGTTCATAACTTCCCTTCAACTCATTCATGTTAACTAAAAGGTAAACCTGTTTCTCCATCACAGCTCTGATGATTCAGTAAGGACATCTCCTGGTTTCATCTTCATGTTTCCCACTCACCACATATCCAAACCGACATCATGACCAGCAGCTTTACAGCTGTGGCTCCAGCAAACATCAGCTGATACTAGAAATTAATATTAAATAAATTCTAACAACAGCTGATCAAGCTTAAAAGTGCTGCTGTTGTTTAGCGCAACATCCGCTGGTTTCCTCTTTCTGCCGCAAAGTGGGCGATAAATAAACAAGAGAGAAAAGCCGATCAGCTGATCATTGATCAGTTTCATGATTGAAGTAGAAACAGGAGAGGGAGGGTGAGAGGATGAGAGAAGAAGAGGCAGCTGTGCAGCGTAAACACAGAATAACTCCAGCTTTGTGTCTTTTTCATTGTAGCTGAAGTCCGGGACAAACTGTTCCTTTTCACCTCAATAAGAAACGCGTAATATTTTCTCTGAATACCAGACGATTCTGTTTTTTACGGGACGGTTGGCAACTCTAATAATTAACCTTATGAACAAAATAAAGTTCAACATCAGTAACATAGCACCCACCCAGCTGTATAGAAACTCCGTCATGCTAGCTAGCACGCAGTACAAAAAAGTCAGCATAACGAAATAAACTCCACCTAAACTTGGTTCATATCTGACCCAGATGGACTGCAGGTTATAACTTCTTACCTGAAGTTCAGTTCACCTGACACTGGGACCGGCGGCCGCTTCGGGTCTCTCCTCTTGCCTCCCTTTCTCTCATCCACCTGCTGGCTTCCACCACTTGCTAATGTTATTGAATCTGTGGAAGCTCCGCGATAGCCACCACACGAAGTAATGAATAACGAGCCTATCGCGGAGCTTCCACAGATTCAGTAACATTAGCAAGTGGTGGAGGCCAGCAGGTGGATGAGAGAAAGGGAGGCAAGAGGAGAGACCCGAAGCGGCCGCCGGTCCCAGTGTCAGGTGAACTGAACTTCAGGTAAGAAGTTATAACCTGCAGTCCATCTGGGTCAGATATGAACCAAGTTTAGGTGGAGTTTATTTTCGTTATGCTGACTTTTTTGTACTGCGTGCTAGCTAGCATGACGGAGTTTCTATACAGCTGGGTGGGTGCTATGTTACTGATGTTGAACTTTATTTTGTTCATAAGGTTAATTATTAGAGTTGCCAACCGTCCCGTAAAAAACAGAATCGTCTGGTATTCAGAGAAAATATTACGCGTTTCTTATTGAGGTGAAAAGGAACAGTTTGTCCCGGACTTCAGCTACAATGAAAAAGACACAAAGCTGGAGTTATTCTGTGTTTACGCTGCACAGCTGCCTCTTCTTCTCTCATCCTCTCACCCTCCCTCTCCTGTTTCTACTTCAATCATGAAACTGATCAATGATCAGCTGATCGGCTTTTCTCTCTTGTTTATTTATCGCCCACTTTGCGGCAGAAAGAGGAAACCAGCGGATGTTGCGCTAAACAACAGCAGCACTTTTAAGCTTGATCAGCTGTTGTTAGAATTATTTAATATTAATTTCTAGTATCAGCTGATGTTTGCTGGAGCCACAGCTGTAAAGCTGCTGGTCATGATGTCGGTTTGGATATGTGGTGAGTGGGAAACATGAAGATGAAACCAGGAGATGTCCTTACTGAATCATCAGAGCTGTGATGGAGAAACAGGTTTACCTTTTAGTTAACATGAATGAGTTGAAGGGAAGTTATGAACTGTTTCTGAGAGATAAATAACACCAGGATCCTTTTCTAAGCAGCTGACAGCTGGTAACTGTGCAGGGGCGGTCTAGCAAAGTGTTGCCAGGGGTCCATGTAGGGCATTAAAAGGGAAAGGGGGCACAAGGAAATACTTTCTTATTCTCATTTAAAATGTCTCACTTTTAAAAAAATAATTATCTGAGTCTTACAACAAACAATTGATAGATTGATACATATATACCATCAGAACAGTGTACATCACTGTCACAACAGTATTTATTTCATTCAAATGCTTGATGATTTTTCCTATAATGGTGGGCCGGTCTCTAGTCAAAATGCCCAGGACGATTTTTTGTCCCAGTCCAGCCCTGTATGCAGCTCATCTGCAGTCTGGTGTTACCTACATCTTCCTATTCAGAAGGCAGAATTTCCGAGTTCTGAGTACAATCGAAAGCACCACGACTGCAGTTTTTGTGTTGGATGTAAAAAGCAGGCTAGGATAGAATCAGGCGTGGGATTTCTCTCGTGGAAATGTGCACATTATTTTTTCCTTTCTATTGGTAGGTGGCACAGTGCACTTGTGGTAAGTAAGCAAGCTAGAAGAAGAATCTTGCTGGGTATCCAGTTACGGAAGCAACACATTAACAAGAGAATTCTGAGTAAAACCAAAGTTACTTTCCCTAGTAACTAGTTACTCTGAAAGTAACGAGTAACTTGAAGTAACTGAGTTACTTTTGATAGAAGTAACTAGTAATGTAACTAAGTTACTCATTTAAAGTAACTTACCCAACACTGTATATCACAGAACTTAACTTTGAGTGAGAAAAAAAGAGAAATAGTCTGGAAACAGATGAATTTTCAGTCACTGACACAGTGGGAGTTCTGGCAGACACGTTGCACTAAGAAATGTCTTATTTTTAGAGACTGACCTGAATGTATGTTAGATACTGGTCAACACTGGAGCACTTTGGGATGCTGTAGCCCTTGTAGAAGCTAAATGCAGGTCCAAACATTTCCTCACTGAACCACACCTTGGCAAAGGTGTTGAGGAGGCGCTTGTCATAGTCGTCGGTCACACGACCACCGTATGAATCTCTCCAATCATGTATCGAACTGTGTTCCAGGACACACCCTAAGGAGATGATAAAACAGTGATAAAGGATGACAAAAAAATTGTTCATGAATGTGCAATATAATTTGTGAGCAGACTGAATACATACACAGTCAGAAAGCTCTAAAACTCCCAGCAGATGGCTGTTGTTGATAAGTATTTACAATATCCTTTCTTTAAATCTCAACCCTTTTAACATTTTTTATGGTCAAGAGTCCTAATCACACAGATAATAAGCATTACTCTACCTACCTTCTTAATATCCATGTCATCAAGATGGTTTTGAACAACTGGACAGTGGCATTAAAATCAGCCTGGTTGAACTCATAGGGAATATTCCATCCAGGGGCCATATTTCCTTCTCTCCTGAACTGTGCTGTGAAGAAAGGCTACTGCATACAGCATCGGCCTCCACTGCGCCATGTTACTGACATCCAAAAGGTCCTGGTTTATACCTGGTCAGGGACATGCAGGTCAAAAAGATGTACTGCATGCCCAAAAGGAGGCTAAGTGTAACATCTACAGAAATGTATTGAAATAATCCATAACTGAATAAAGTCAGTTACTTCTAAAACCAAGCATTGCACAAACATGCACACACAGATTTCCTTTTAGCGAACAGTTAGGATTTGTTGCGTAAATGTGGGAGAAAAGATAGTGAACTGAATATGTCAGTCAAAATAATACCTTCTTTCTGATATAATACCAAACTGCAATTACTAATCGAAATCAGAATTCCCTAGCAGATCATTACATGGAGAAACCTTTGGAATGCAAGCGCGCGGATCCACACAGGTATGCACACGGGTGTTCACTGCTCGTAGACCCAAATTACACCTTTCTTGGCTGCTACTTCGACGCACATCTGTCCTGCGTGCTGCACAACAACATTGAATATTTAGTATTTACTGCTGTTTACACTTAGCTAGATTAATGCGATGGTTTGGTTTAGTATGTTGCTTTGTTTTTTTTTTCTGCTTGTTTTCTATAAAAAAAATAAAAAAAATTCAAGCTGTAGATACGATCTCAATTCCCTCCAGGAACCATGTCATCTGAGCCAGGAAAAGACAGCTGGTTTCTACATTTTAAAGATTCTTTCTTTCTTCACCCTTGTTTTGGACCAAAACACAGACTAGATAACTCAGACTTGTTTAAATTTTACTAACCTTGGGTAACATGGGTAAAAACAAAATCCGGAATACAATAAATATAGCATCAAACAGGTGTTTCTCCCACATTTCCATCTTTTTATTCACTTACTTATTCCTATCATGGATATCACGAAGTAGAGGTGTTTTGTATATCTGCATCTCCAAATGTACACATCAATATTGGAATATATTTCATTCTCTTAGGTCCTCTTTCTTTATCACATAGATAAATTGGATCTATTAAACTGGCTAGTATTTCTGGACTTCTTAATGTGAGCTTAAGTGAGCCAAACCTACCGCCATATGTCCTCTTAAGCCCTGCCTTGAGGCCCTGTGGTGGTTCATTGGTGAACTTGATGGACATCTGGAGAAGTGTGATGGGAAAGTGTCTGTGGACCTCAGTGGTCATCCAAAGGCGGAAGCTGTTGTTGACAAAGTCTGTCTCTGTCACAGTGTCCATGAGCTCATCCATGAAGTCCAAACCCAGGTGGCAATTCTGGAGTAAGGCCCAGCCACCCTGGGGACAAACACAGTAGTATGCCTATCATCCATGACGAAGACTATAAATGAGGAGTTCAAGAAAACCCTAAATAATTTCTATAAATTCCAAACCACATTTTTAGAGACAGAACATCTGTATTGCTAAAACAGCAGTAATATCTCACCACTCACATTAGCCATAGTTTGCTGCAGAAGCTTGCGTGCGTGGACCTCTTGTCCTTGACCCATGGATACATAACGGGTCTCGATTTCAGCTTCTTCCCGAGTGCTATAATGGAGTCAGTTGGATCTGAGCCCATTGAAAGGAAGCAGATGAGAGGTGTTCGTGGGTCCGACTCCTCCCACATCTTCTCTAAATCAAGAATCACCCTTCAGTGTATTTCTCCCCTACTGCGTCCATTATGTATTTACGGGCCTAAAGGAAAGAATATGATGCAAAGCAGATGTAATTTTTTAAATGCTTTGTAATGCAAAGAGTTGAGCAAAGTAGTCCAATAGTATATATTGGAATAAATTTACTTTCTAGAAAGCTGAGAACTGAGATAATTCTTCAAAGCATTTTCTTTACTGGCTAACTCTTTTTACCCTTAAGGCTAGGGCAACTGTGGACTGGACTGTGAGTTTAACTAAATAAATTGGACTCCAGGCTTGTCTTCAGTGGGCCAGAAAGTTATCCATCAGTAAAACTGAATATCTTTTAGCCACTGTAAATATTCAGGCACAGCAGGCTGGAGGGTGAAAGCTGTATAACAACAAGTTACACAAGCTGCTTCTTATCTCAAGAAGAGCTTTGACCAAGCAGCTTTCAGTGAAGATTAAGAGATTATACATTCTTGTTTTGTGGTCCGTGTCTCATTTATGTAGCTGTATTTTAAGTCAGGAGGTATCGCTTCCCAAGCTTTAAGCCATTAACTCTCAGATTAGCAACTTTAAGCCTTTTCTCTTTCTTTAGTGGTAATTATTAATTTTAATTGCAGTCTACAGTATACTATTGAAAATGCACTATGATAGAAATGAGAAAAGTAGATTTACATTGCCTGTTCTACTTGTTGTGTTGTATATTATAAAGTAGGCAAAAGCATGACCAAAAAACAGACCAGACAACCAATGTTTGGCTTTCTAATTAAAGAAAATGGATTGGGTGACCCTTAGCCATCCTATGCTGCTATAGGCTGGTTAGACTCTTCTGATGCTTTTAAAGTTTACACTGCGATATTCATACTGTTAATATTTCCCTTCTCACTCCTGTAGTTTATGTTTTGTCCTTGGTCTCTCTATGTTCTCCTTTTCTCTCTCCTCTTTACCCCTCACCAGTCGCAGTAGATGGCCTCCCTTTCTGAACCTAAACCAGCTTCTGCCAAGGACCCGATCATTAATTCTGGAGCACCGTCACCAAAGGCTTGTTCACAGGGGAACTTATAACAGTTATTACAATATTAATGTTCCAAGGAACTTTTTGTTTTGAATTGGCATTATATAAAGAAAACTGAATTTAATCATTGTATCTGTCCTCTATAGCCATGCATAAACATGTCTCTCCTTACTTGTGCGATGGTCCTGTCAGGACACCAGCAGCGTATGAGGAGCAGCCGTCTAAAACAGTCAAGAGACTGGTCATAGGAGTTTGGGACTACTTCCTCCTCTGGGGCCTCCTTGTCAAACCAAGCCTTCCACTGTTTCTCGTTACGACTTATCTGTAAGAAGACTTATCTGTGACAAAAAGCTCTGACGTGGGAAACAAATATAAAACAGGGCAAAACTTTAACTGCATTACAGCACATCAAAATCTGCAGAAAAGATAAACGAATACTGTGAACACTTCAAACATATTTAGACACAAAGTGATCTTCAAAGTGGCCAACAAAAGAAAGCTAATAAGTAACAACAAAAAAAGACAAAAGAAGGATGAAATGTACCCTGTTTGACTATGTGCACTCCCTCGCTCTCTCTCTGTGTCTCGTCTCCCTTAACTGTTTCCGTGTCCCCCTCGTTGTCTCCTCCCGTTATCTCCCTGGTCCGTCTCATCTCCCTGAATTTTCTTTCCTCCCAGCTCCCGTGTCAAGTTGTGTGACTTGGTCTCTGTCTTAGTGATTCCTGGTTTACTTTGATAGTCTTCTGTCTGGTGTGCATCATGTTCAGTTTTGTGTCCCCGTGTCTCGTTAGTTAGATCACGTTCGGCTGGGTCCCCTCCAGTAGTTTGTTCCCTCGTTTGCCCTGGTGTGTATTTATGTCTGCGTCTCCCTCTGTCCTGTGTCGTGATCTCCCTCATTTCCCCGCTGTGTGCTCTGCCTGCCTGTGTAGTTCATGTGTATTCCCAGTTTAATAAGTTTTGTATTCCTGGCGTCCAGCAATAAAGCTGTTCTGAGTGTGAGTCTGCATTTCTGTCCTATCCTGCCTGCTTCACACAGCAATTCATGACAATATAGCTGAGGTCTCATGCATGGAAGAAGTCTTATTTATGGCACTTCATTTTATAACGAGCACAGACAGACACAACATGTAATGCGTGACCTAACTAGATGATTATGCAATAACAGGAGGCCATGAATTGACACTGCTGTAAACACCATGTGCTTCCAAGATGCGATCTGCATGTGTGATAGCACAAAATATGCCAACAGATTGTGCTAATATTGTTATGTTTATCACAACGAAGCACAAAGGAAACTAGACTAGCAGAAGTGGCATGGCAATCAGAATCAGAATCAGAATCAGAATACTTTATTGATCCCTGGGGGAAATTAAACAAGTCTGGCAATGGCACGGCAATAACCTTTTAACTGTATAACAGTGGATACAGCTCATCAATATAGCTTTAAACTCTCACATACTTTAGGATCAAATTTAGAAAAAAAAAATTGAGGATATACCCAAGACAGTTTAGCAGTCAGTCATAAGGTAACACATACATAGTGGAGGGACCAATTATTTGATCCCCTGCTGAATTTGTAAGTTGCCAATTTGTAAGTTTCACTTCCAATGAAATGAAAAACAGTCTCTATTTTTAATGGTTGTTTCATTTCAATTTAGAAAGACAGAACATCAACCAAAAATCCAGAAGAATCACATTACATAAAAGTTACAAATTGATTCACCTATCATTGTGAGAAATAAGTATTTGATCCCCAAGCAAAACATGACTTAGTTCTTAGATGCCCTTTTTGGCAGCCCAAATTACTGTCTACAGTTCAATCCACAAGATCATTTCTGAAGCAGTAGTAATTGTACTGTGCCCCGTTCTAATGCCAGACTGAAATTCACTTAACACATTAACAAGTAAAGACTGTTTTTGCTCCAAATTTATCGGAGATTCGATAATTTGAGACTGAGGGCAAGTGTTACTCTTCTAAAGGCTCACTTTTACATAACAGGTGAAATAGGCAGTTTTCCATTTTTTTTCTTGGAACAAAAACATACAAGGAAGCAAAAATTCAGTTTAATCCAATTCAATTTGATTTTAATTAAGGTTTATTTTTATTGCTAACTATAGGCTTTATAAAAAAGGAACGTTTTATTTATCTTAAAACAGAGGAAGTGGATAATTTTTTGAAATAAGATGGTTGCAATATGGTCTATAATTAGATGAGACACTTAGATCAAGCAAGGAATTTAAGAAGTAATTTAATGACAGAAACCTTAAAAGCCTGTGTTATGTATCCTGTTAATAGTGACAAATAAATTATAATTAAAATTGTAGTATCACCCTGGCTACAGCGATGAAAAGAAAGTGTGTACAAAGTCAAGACGTAGAAGAAGATAACTGAACATTTTCAAACATCATCACTAAATGCTTGACTAAACCTCAAAACTTCTGTTGAATAACTTAAACTTCTGAATAACATCGAAAGTCAGACCTGTCGTCACAATAATACTGCAAGAAAACTAGCCCATTCGCTTATACCATTGGTGTGTATCTTATGAAGAAATACACAAAGCCAACTTCAATGTCACTTTGCTAAAAGCAGAACAGTTAGAAAGTCCACCACCTCCTCCTTGTCTTTTTTTTTTCACCACCTCTCTAATCCAGAGCGTTTCACTTTAATTTGCTACACAGCTACAACATCCAGGGGACCTCAACCAGTCCAGCTTCAGTCCAGGGCTAATCCAATAACATCTAGCAAAAACGTTCCCACCTGTGGGTGGATGTTGTTCTTGGAAAACTGCTTATTTAGGCCCAAATTACAAACTATCACCATTGCAAAAACTTCAGGCACCGACACATATGGTGGTCAAGTCAGAATCATAAATCACCTTAAACACGCATGTTTTTATCTTTTGTAACAACAGCAATGCCATGGATAACTGTGTGTAATCGAACAAAATTAGAAAAAATTAGGCAGGTTTCCTAATAAAGCTGTATTAACAACATCTTAACAACTAGTTTCTTTAAGAAATCAAGTCACTTCAAAGGGATAAAGCAAGCCCTGCTTCTAAATCTCAATAAAAATGTACCTTTAAAACATTGCTCATATTTAGGCATGTGTGTAATCTTGAAAAAGAGTATGCCCTTTAACGACTACTTACTGCAGTCAAAAAGCTACCTGCTGCTACTTAACACACACACACACACACACACACACACACACACGCACACGCACTCGTATGGGCTCAAAATGTGGTCATAAATATTTTGTACTTGTAAAAAAGATTTGTATGTGTATAAAAGATTTGTGCGTGCGTAAAAAAGATTTGTATGTGTAAAAAGAATTTGTGTGTGCGTAAAAAAGATTTGTATGTGTAAAAAAGATTTGTATGTGTAAAAAGAATTTGTGTGTGCGTAAAAAAGATTTGTATGTGTAAAAAAGATTTGTGTGTGCGTAAAAAAGATTTGTGCGTGCGTAAAAAAGATTTGTATGTGTAAAAAAGATTTGTGTGTGGACTTAGAAAAAAAACCCCTGCAAGTTACAAGTACGGATTTTTGACCCTATTTTTCTACCCTTCATCTGATTGGTCAATGTCATGTCAATCACACATGTAACAATCCAATCAGAGAACAGATGGGTTAGGCTGTCAGAGGGGCGCTTTTTTGAACTGCAGGTCCTTGAAGGGTGATACCGTTTGAAGCTGGAGGATCGCTATATAAATATCCGATAGCAGCTAGGTCCCCTAACTTTCAGTAGCTGTTGAAAGGAAAAAGTTGTGGTATATCAGTGGTTAGAAATAACATTATTACTTTAGGATTAGTTTAACACAAAGTCAGGGCTGACCCAGGACCATTGCTGTGAGTCACAGTGCGCAGCATAAAAGTCCTTTCACATCGGATGCAGGATACGCTGCTAATGCTAACTGCTAACTAAAAGCAAAGGATCCAGAATTTGTTACGCCGGCTGCTGGGCTCTGTGGGTTTTTGCAGCTGCTCTACCTGTACTAGATGCACCTGCTCCTTGTCTTTTCTATCTCTGACTTTATGTCCTCTACAAGAGTTTGTTTTTTTTGCTAGTTCTTCAAATGTTCAATAAAAACATGTATGCTAATTCATAACGAAGAAAGCTTTGTAATGAAGACTGTCATTTCCAAAACACTGCCCGCCCCCACCCCGCGGTCTGCAGCGCTGTTGAAAAGGCTGTGGAAGTCCCTGTATTAAACACGTAGACCTGTGACATAAAAATCACCAAACTCGGACAACCACAGACTGTTTTCCTTCGTGGTGATGAAGGAAAACGCTGGGTTGGCATGTAAAAGGGCATTTATTCCCTTCAAAGACCTGCAGTTCAAAAAAAGCGCCCCTCGACAGCCAAACCCATCTGTTCTCTGATTGGATTGTTACATTGTGATTGACATGACATTGACCAATCAGATGAAGGGAAGAAAAATAGGGTCAAAAATCCATACTTGTAACTTGCAGGGGTTTTTTTTCTAAGTCCACACACAAATCTTTTTTACGCACACACAAATCTTTTTTACACATACAAATCTTTTTTACGCACACGCAAATTCTTTTTACACACACAAATCTTTTTTACACATACAAATCTTTTTTACACATACAAATCTTTTTTACGCACACACAAATTCTTTTTACACATACAAATCTTTTTTACGCACACACAAATCTTTTTTACACATACAAATCTTTTTTACAAGTACAAAATATTTATGACCACATTTTGAGCCCATACACACGCACACACACGCTCACGCACACACACGCTCAGCCAAAAGTATTTGACTGGAAGTTTCTCCAACTAAGCTCATTTCACAGAGCACTGAGTTTTGACTCCACGGGGACCACAGTGCTGTCATTCATCCACAAGGGTGTGTGTATTTAAGTGTGAGTGACAGTCCATCATGATGAGTGTGTGTCTATGTACAAGAGGGAAATGAAGTGAGCCATGATGAGACTGATATTGACATGCTTACTAGAGCAAAGAAGAGCTGTGAAAAGTATTTAATAAGCACCTTGAGACAACTGCTGTGTATGTGAGTGTGTGAGTGTGCAGGTGTGTATGTGATAGATTAGAACTGCTATCTGAAGACTTAAAAGATAAAAGTCCAAGTGGGTAGATTTTCTGTAGGCTAAAGGACACTATCATACAGCTGTCAAGGCATGTCTAAATTGATCAAGTGTATGTTGTACCTGATCCAGTATATCAGCGAACTGCCAAAGTTTGCTGAGCTCTACAAGATTTAGCCAGGTCATGTCAAGGATCCATTTAGCTGGTTTCTGGGGGCAAGCCTTCAGATCCAAGGATGCACCTCCTGAATAATATGAACATGAACAATTACAGATATAGACACCTGCAAGTATAACTGGAGGATCCAATGCAAAAAATTCAATTTTAAACTCCCAAAATACATAACAAATGTAAAAATGTAAACCCAATCTTCAAAAACACAGAAAAAGTCATCAGAATTGTAATTTGTTGTTTATCAGGCCGGAGCTGACAGATGGTGAAGCTGCGTGCGTGCACCAGACTGTGGCTGTTCTGGTTCTGCCAGTTGCCATTGCTGGGTTTTATCCCCACAGTGAGGAGCACTCCATATCATATTCAGTGAACTGCTACAGTGTCAATATGTTCAAATTCTGCATAGTTTCTGTCATGAGGTTTAAAACCTGTCTACTCCTTGAAATAAACAATAAATATGGTTAAAGAAAAGAATAACAAACAGCAGAAACAGATGGCAATTTTAACAAACCTTCAGGCTGTTTTGATGTGAATGATAGCTTTACAGAAACCCTTGTATTTTCATTTTTATTTCAAAATGGTGTTTTAAAATAAATCTTAAGAAAAAGTAGGGAAAAACAGTTTTTGTCCAGATGAATATGTTTCAGAAAATCTGTCTGTTCATTCTAACAAGCCGTAAGAAATATCATAATCATGTTTACAACCATGTGATCGATCAAACAGGAAGTAGAGTGTTGTTAGCTAAATGATCTATTCGTTAGCTGTAGAATCTTTGGTTCTGGACAATTTGTGAGTCAGCACAGCACTGGCAGCCTTCATGCACTATGTGTCTCAGTATTCAGTGATCCCGCCCTGTAACTTTACATGGTCTAACACTTTGTAGTTTAGCTGATGGTGGAATATCTAGGAGTGAAGAAATTTCCCAAACTCACTTGTTGCAACGGTGGGATGTTGTTAAATTCTTAGTACTAAGAATCTTTGTCAATACAAGCCATGTTTTTTCATAGCTCAGAGCAGATGTGTTGAAACTCAGAATTTTGGGTCTTAGCATTTTTATCTTTTATTTGTTTTCCTGCGTTACTGAATAGATTTCATTTGGCGTATTTTAGTAGATCATAGAAATATTGTTGCATTGTTTGATGTTATTTCATGTAACGAAAATTCTATTCTTTATATTTGTAATATGCAGTTAAATACCTAATAAATAAAGAATACTTATGCACATCTAAATGCCAGTAATCAACATGAGTTATGACCCCACTGAAACGTTCCAAATATTCAAACTAACCCATGGTTGCATGTGCTCACAAAAACAACAATTTACCCGTACAAACAAAACCTTCAGTGTTTGCATCTGCCTCTTACCTTTGATGAGTGTGAGGAACTCCTCGTGTTTGACCTTGTTGCTCTGCATGTCTATCTTCAGCGTCATCAGCAAAGTGAAAAGAAACTTGTGGTCCTCATACAGGCCCCGTGCTGCGTACTTATAAACTTCAAAGGTCATGAACTCTATGATGTTGGCGATCCGTTTACTTGTGATAGGGCTTTTAGAAGACCTTTTCAGGGAAATAAACAGGTCTTCTAAATAACATAGCAACTTGAAGATTCTGTTGCTATGTCATAAAATTATACTTGCCAGTAGTAAGAGTGAGAACTTCTCTAAAATCAAATATAAACTACTAGTAATGATTGCACAACTTCATGAAGTAATAACTTGCAGGTTTTAACATTAGAAAGGTATGGTGGTTTAAATGCACAATAGTTCCTTGATTTGAAGTTTGCAAAGACTTTCCAATATACATATAAACACACAACAAATTACTATGGGCAAACCAATTCATTAAGCAGGAAATGGTAAATATCAGCGTATCCTCACCTGGCCAGAGAAAGGTCAAAAAGTCCCAGGAACTGTCTAAGAGACGTCTGATACATGACATTCACCATACTCATCTCTGTAATCAGGAAGTACAGGATGCTGCCCCTGGTGGCCACTGGAATCACACAGGGAAACACAAAAGCACAAACTCCAACAAAACAAGTAATATCGTTCATGAGGACATTTTTAAACAGGTTTTTGAAAGAATGTTCTGTTAACTGTAGCCTCCATCCATCCATCCATTCGCGTCCGCTTATCCTGTTCAGGGTCGCGGGGGGCGCTGGAGCCTATCCCAGCTGTCATAGGGCGAAAGGCGGGGTACACCCTGGACAGGTCGCCAGTCTGTCGCAGGGCCAACACACAGAGACAGACAACCATTCGCACTCACATTCACTCGCACATTCATACCTATGGGCAATATGGATTAACCAATTAACCTATCCCCACTAACTGTAGCCTGTATTTTTTAAATTAAAACCAATATGTCTCACATTTGTGTAACTGAAGGCTGACTGACACTTTGCAGGCTTACTTAGAAAAACACACAAAAAAAGAGGGAACTTTGTTTTTAAATCATTTTCATTTTCACTTACCTGGCCGGTACTCCTCTCTGGCTGCGTTGATCTGGATCTCAGTCTCTGCGGCAATCTGTAACTTCTGAGTGACTTCTTCAGCCGTACACTTCGTGTTGCTAAGGACAAGAATCAGACTCTCATCATCAACCAAGGAACCCTAAAAAACACACAAACAATTTTTTTTTTTTTAAAAACGATTATTTTTCACAATTTATATCTTATAAAGCAAAAGAGAAAAAGAAAAAGAAGGCTGCAAACTATTTCTAGTTTTAATTAAAAAACGAGAATGCACAAAACTTGGCCCCAACCTCACCCATGCAAATGAATAAAACATTTTCTCACTGGTGGCAATGTAGTTAACCATTTCTAAAAAGAACATTTCTGACACATTGCGGTTTCTTGCCTGTGTGCTCGTCAGTCGGTAGAGAAGACTGTCTTCTAGTTCCTTCATCTTTCTCTTGTTAGATGTCACATCTTCCAAGAGGTCTGTCCTCTCCTTCTCCAATTCCTGGTGTCATAAAAGCAAAGAAAACACAACCACATGAGCAGATATAGCTGCAGGATGGTGCTAGAGAAAGCCTGTCATTAAAATCAAAGGTCTTTGATTCTGCATTGCTCTGATGAGTTGATTCTGTCTGTGGCTTTAGACTCTTCTCCGGTGCCTGTCTATCATGGTGGCCTCTGGTAGCTGTCTATATTATTCTTACTAATATCTGCAGCCGCGTGAAGGTCAAGAAGCTGAGATTTTGGCAAAAAAAATTAATAAATACCTTATCTAAATGAATAGATGAGCAGAATCCTTATGAAGAATAAAAACGCCCCTAGAGGAGAGATAGCCTCAGGGTGATGATAAGACCTGTAAAGCTATGTTGTCGCCCTTTTCTCCGTAGTCCTAAGTAAGCCCCAGCAAATGACTCCAGCTTACCTCTTCTAAGTGTCCAAAAGTGTTATTTCTGCACTGGGGAAAGCAGGTCTTATCAAAATTTACACCACAGTCTTGCCTGCTGGGAGCATAAATTTGACCAGCATGCTAAATCCCTTTTAGAGTATGAGAGACAATAATTGTGATATTTGTTTTGAGAGTGCGAGAGATTAAACTAAAACAAAATTTGTCTTGTTATCTAAGTCAAATTTAATGGTGGCTCATAAGTAGGCCGACTATCCACATCCCATTAAACTGACTGCCTTTAAGCGGGTATAAAAAAAACAGTCACCACTTCTAAGTGGCAGGTGTGTTTTAAATCAATTAGATTGCTATTTTGATTGTAGATTACAAGCATATTTTCCTAAGAACTGCTGTGTTGGACACTATCACAGCAGGTTGTTATCAATGATAAATGCTCTTTACATATAATGTAATATAATATAATATAATATGAATACACAAATATTTATGAAAATGCTTTTTTTTTTTACATTTCCTATAATTTTACTTTTACTATGAGAATTATTATGGTCAAGACAGCAGGCTGGTTTGAAACCAGTGGGTCTGAGAGGACAGAATTAGTATGCATACCCTTTCTATTACTGCATATGAATGATTTCAATAGCTTACAAAGACAGATGTAAGTCATACTGGAGCTGAAAGCTGTGCGTAGAATTGAAGTTTGACTGAAAGTAAAAAGAAACGATTCAACAGTGATGTTGGGTTTGTGAAAACTGCACAAATTGTAAAGACAAGAAGCAGGGCTTACAGCTGAGGTAGTAGTTTTAGCTCTTATTTGATTAAATCCAAATTTAGTACACAGATACAGTAACAAGCCTCTTCCCATCTGGAATAAATCTTTCATTTCATGACCAGCTATCAGCAAAAGGAAAATTGTTTTTCTGTAACAGGACCAGCCTTTTCAGAGTGACAATCAATGAGTCCTGCATTTGGTGCATTTATAATTCACTAATCTATTCCCCAGTGAGACTGACGTCACTTGTCTGTGTCTTTGTGCGTATGCTTGGTACCGATACACGTGAGCACTATTTCTGGGTTACTTTTATTCCCCACTCACACTGTGTTTGACCAAAGCAGGGCGGTTGCAATTGTTTGTATTCAAATGGCGTTCTGATGTCACAGTACAGAGAAAATGAGATTGGGAAAGATGTAGAGAGTCTGCATTTAAATGTTGTTCAAGATTTATTTCAGGTTCTACAAGGATGCACATAAGCAGTATTAATGCAGGGGTACAGTCTAATAGTACATTATGCTAACCTAATTTAAATATGTTCCTTAATTATGTATCGTCTGGCTTTAGTGGCTACCATTTTGAGTACTTGTATACCTGCTTTTCAGTGAGGATGACTCTGCCCAGCAGCTGGTCCTCCAGTCCTCTCATGGTGACAGTGAAGTCAATGATGGAGGTGCGAGCACTTATTTCAGGAGTGTAAGCCGGGTTAGGCAGCTTGGTGGTCATATACAACCTGAAGCCCTTCATCACATCCACTTCTTTGTCACCAAGCTTCACCTGCAAGAGGGTGTATGTGTGTTATTGTTTAGAATATTAAGTCTTACAAATAACATAATAAAGAGCTCAGAGTTGGAATTACTGGTTGGAGTTCTGGTTTTCCATTGGAAATTAATGTGGGTGTATTTGGATGCTAAAAGTTCATATTTTTAGCATCCAAAAGTGCAGAATTAATTTAGAGTGTTCTCATTTGTGTTTTCAGGAAATTGGAATTGTTCAAATCTTTATTAGCAACACAGAAAAGACATTTGCGCACAATATAAATGTTTTTTCTCCAAAAGCGCAAACCATTTTTTCCATTAAAAACATATGAATGTCCTGTTGTACCCAGAGTCTACTTCCAAAGCTTAATTTGGGGTCGTCATTTAGGCTAATGAAACCAAAACCACTCAAACTGTGATCTGCAATTTTCCCAACTACAATTATCTTCAACATTACATAAAACTGAAGCTGCAATAGAGTCAAAATCGGTGCATTTCGCATCTCAGGAACAGGAAGCACTCTGCAAAAGTATGCTGCAATTTCAGCCTTCATCCTGTAAATCATTTGATTTTTTTATTTTTGTTTTTTACTAACATGCCCCCAAACACCCACAACTCACGCAACAGCATCAGGTAGCTCCAGTTTGTTTATTTCGCCCCCCAAAAAATAATATTCATTCAAATCAACCAACATCCCATCTGCACTGGCTCAATGCTCCACAGCCTGAACTCCTTTGCATTAGAATGTGAGCTAATACAGGATACCGAATGCACTTTGTGTACTGTATTTAATTTGATGTTACTTTAACAACTGATTGAGTTCGATTTATGTGGTGAATTTAACTTGTTTGGCATCAACAAAAATGATGGAAATAAAAAGAAAAGGAAGTTTCATTATGCAACAGAAGTCTGTTAAAGTATCGACACTTGCCCTTGTTCTAAGTGGTGACATATTGAATGTTTGTTTCCCTGAGTATGTCTTAAAATTTTATATTTTATTGTATTTTTTGTTAATGTAGCTTTCAAAACTGTCTGAACACCCAAAGCAGAGTCAAGAGAACCAACTGTGCCTTTTTGACAAGATCTAATGATGCCGACCTTCTATAAAAAACAGCAAAATAAAGGAGGAAATAGTACAATGTACACTGCACAGTGTAAACCCTTTTCCCAGACTTACCAAGTACATTTTAATCTGTCTCAAAAGAATTAATATGATCTAGGAAATGTGGTCTGGCTGCCAATGATACTCATACTTAAAACTCTCTTCTAGTCGACACTACCTGTGCAGTGTCAGCGAGAGAGCTTGTTTTTCTCTGTCTGAGCTAATCAAGCTCTATCAGTCCAGGTGTGACAGCTGGCGTGCCAAGGAGAAGCTGGCAAAGTCTCATCATACTGACCACTAGTCTTTGAACATGCCTGCCAATTTCATACCCTTCTAACTAAAAGTAAAATCTAACACATGGATCTAAGTAGGATTATTTCGTTCTGTGTTGTTACCTTGTAAGTGGAGCCGGTTTTGATGAAGTTTTTCTCAAGTATGTTGTCAAGCGCAGGGTCCAACTCCTCCCCACATCTCAATCAAAAGGGGTCGACCAAGAGACAAACTGTCCTCTAGGTGGTTCTTGAAGTACTTGTGATTCAGTGAGGTGATCTGAGATCAGACAAGAAAACACATTTTAAAATGGTAATTGTCTGATTTCAATGTGCAGTTTGGATGACCACCACCACAGAGCCTGATATTGTCCTGAGGATATGAAATAAATGGGCTAAATGTGAGAAGATTTTACAAAACAGACAAAAATACTGATTTTACTGTACGATACAATAACCTTCCTATGTGACCACAGCAGCAATAATATTTGTCTCCAACAGGAGTAGGAGACACATGTGTGGTTTCCTCACTTTTCCTTCAAAGCTACAAAGGTCAGCCTCTATGTGCGGATTCTGACTGTTCAAGCTAACAAAGAATTGCTTTTCAAGTGAGCCATTTTTAGAAAAAATAAATAAACTTTTTCTAATGATGTGACCTGAAGAAAGGGTTGAAACCTACCGCTGGAGGAAATGTGTCTCCAGGATGCTCATAATGGGATTTCAGAATGCATTCACTCGGCTTAGAGATTGCCCCTAACAGGGTCAGCGACTTTTGCTTAGCTTATTATGTCTGCAGAATTGGTGGTAGTTTTTTTGTGGGGGGTTTTGACATTGTGCTCTGTATACTGGATAGCAGGAAGGACTAAGGGCATTAAAGAATTTAGTACCACAGTTACTAACAAGCAATGATGATCCACAAGGCCAGTAACATTGTGGGATGAGCTGCACTCTCTAAATGTGGTGTCAGAGAGAAGGATGTTTTCCAAGATAAGGACAATGCTGGACAATACCTCCCACCCAGTCACAGGAGCACGTTCAGTGAGAGACTGAGATTACCCAAATGCACCACTGAATGACACAGGAAATAATTCCTGCCGGTGGCTCTCTCTCTGTAAAATTCATGAATCTAAACCACCAGTACACACTGCAGTAGTTGCACACACTTATGATCTGCACATCCTATACAGGAATATAAGGGCACTGCAATTTCAGCTTTGTCTATATTCAGTGTTGTCTAATATATTGGGATATTTATAATTGGAGCTATTTTCGTTTATTAGAGCTGTTTTGTTCTATTTTAAATTAGTATTATTTCATTGGTACTTTAACTTGGTAGTAACTGTTCTTACTTGGAACTGTGAACACACAATTTCCTCTAGGATTCTGATTCTGATATTAGAGGCCACTAAAATCAAAATGGGCACAGGACATTTGGACTGGTGAAGAAGACTAGGTATAATGCAAAAGTCTGCATGACGGATGGATGAATGGATGCATTCATTTAACTTTTATATGCTTCAGACATTGAAACGAAATTGTAGAAGATAGTTTGCAAACCTGTAGCTCATTCTTGGCTTCTTTGTTCTTGATCCAGATTTTTCCCTGTGTCTGTGGTCAATAAGGAGGGGAAGCGGGCAGCTTTGGTTACAATAATGCCATTGTGAATGGACAGGTCATCATTTGGCAAACCCTGTAAGACACAACATGAATAAATGGTGAGGGTCAATCTTGATGCTTAACAGTATCTCCACCAATGATAAATGGTCCAGCAATCAATGTTTCCTGGATCCTCGTTTAAAGATAAATAAAAGATATTAGCAGCTACCAGTGCTACCCATCAGCGTTTTAGTAGCACCTATGGTATCAGTTTAAAAATCCTAAATTGTCTGGTTTTCAAGTTATCTGATTTACAAACTGGGCGTCCACACCACCCGGTTGGCGACCCAGCAGACTGACAACAACACCATATCAGCTTTTTACTGCTGAGGGGTAAAAAAAATATGACTGTTAACATAAACTAACATTTACACAAACGTTAAAACAACTTAAGCTAACAAAATGTTAGCAATTCTAGTTAGATTCCCATATATTCACAAAACTTATTTCAACTACTAACTACTACATTACTGTTACTACAACCAACAATAATAATAATGACGCTATCAGTTAATTTTTAATTAACCTAATTACCTTATTTTCCGCAGGATTTTAAGGTGCACATAAAATCCTTTAATTTTCTCAAAAATCGACAGTGAGCCTTATGTATGAATTCTGGTTGTGCCGATTTTATGTGGTACACAGCACTCAAAATCTGTCAAAACATGTTTTAGTACAACTATGTTTTGGTAAGCTACGAAGAATTGATTGTCAGAGCGTTATGACAACCGTAGTCAAGAGCCTTGCGGAACAATCTGGGTCCAAAACTCCGTCAGCTTCAGGACAGGTCCCAAAGTCGAACAAACAGTGCGACATCACAGAGAGTTAACTGTCTAAATTCTTTCACATTTAATAAAATGATCAGCGTTGCTGATTTACCAGGTGTAACGATTACGTTTAACATACAGGCATCCATGAAAACAGAATTTATAAGATTATAGTTATAGGTTAGATTAGAGTTATAGGTTAGCAGGAAGTTAGCTCGCTAGTTTCCGTCTAAACATGATATACCATGTTATGACTGAGAGATTTCTGAAAAAATTAAACATACAGCTCTGCTATGGCTTCCAGCATAAATGAAGACAGAAAACTAAACAGCAGTGATGCTGTAGGGTTACTGGGTTGGGCTAGCTGGTATATTGGGTTGGGCTAGCTGGTATATAATGCTGTGCTACATTACATGTGGCATTAATATGTAAAAACATCTTTAATTAGCAAAATAGATCACTGACCTGAAGGTTCCATTCACTAACTGTGGGCGCATCAATGAGCAGTTCAGTCAGATTGAGGTTGTTACCAAACGGGATGTAACGTTGCTTCAGCTCTCGCTGCCAGTCGTTCAGCAGAAGGTTACGAAACTCCTGATTGAAAGGTCCTGAGTAAGAAAGAAAGGCTGTGGCCAGAAGAACATCACCTGGAACAGGAACAAGCGTTGTTACGTGTACATACTTATCAGTACACATCAGTGTATCAGTTACATATTAATCAGATGTGGCACTGCCTATGCACTGAAATGAGAACATGCCTAAATATTAGTGGGGTAATTTTAAAAGTGCAAGAATTCCATGTCAAACAGTAGCATCACGACCATCCCGCTGATAAATTAAAACATTAGCATACAATAACGACATGACAGATTAAGGTTATAACTCCAAGTATAATGCATCATCAGACAGAGATTTTTCACTTCACTGCACATTATTTATCCACAGAACATTTCCCATATCACACAAAGAACTTCATATTATTATGATAGATATTTGTTATTATGTTGCAGAGGCTAACTCTATGTTTTTGAACCTGCTGTGAAACCCACCCACGAGCCGTTTGGTTTGGACAGCAAACTCTTTGCTCTGTTCCGTCCATCTCTCCTTCTCGCCAGCGAGACCGCTGATGAGACTGGACGCTGTCTGCATCTTGTGTCTGCAGCGCTCAGCATCCTCCAGCAGCGTCTGATGGGAAAGGGGCCCGCAACAGGTCAGTAGGTTGATGTGTCTATTTAGCCTTGTGTGTCTGTCCAAGTGTGTCTGCCTCTATCCAAGTCTTATTCCACCATCTGCACATTCGTGGATTAAACCCCTAAAAGCTCATCTCTGTTCATCAGAATTACATACCATCATCATTATCTAACTTAGTACGCATGAATCTAAGAATATTTGCCTCTTCCCTCAGCTGCTCACCAGCGAACTGCCCTCACTGCATGCGCAAGCCACACTTTAGGTTTTTTTGCTTGACAGAGAGGGACACAGTGCCCTTCCACACTGCTGAAGTGTGTGCTTTGTTAAGCAGGAGAGAAAAACGAGGGCTTCTTCTGTAAATCAAGAGGACTATAAAGGAGAGGTGGTGCTGTTCCAACAGGTCACAGGAGAGAAGAAGTAGTGTGATGTGTCAGGAACACAGTGACTTGGGCAAAATAAAGAAAATGCTGGGTGTTAAATCTGTGATTACAAACAAAGCATACAAATGCAGACAGATTAACACGTCCTGGGAAGCTTGTATTGCCCCAAGCTATTGTTGTTAATGTTATCTTCACTTTATCTGTCTTCTTTTGCTTTCCAGGACTCATTTTAAAAAATATATTTACACTTTATAAGGGGAATATTGAAAAGGCATGTGGCCTGTGCTATGAAGCAGAATTTCATCTTATCCTGGTACTTTCAGGGCTAACCCTGAGTTTTTTGTATTATGAAGGTGGTTTACTGCTTACCGAGTTATATCACCATGGTAAATTATGCTGCAAATCTAACTTGCCTTTTAAACATAATTGAATTAAACACTTGATTACAGTCCATCAGATTCTGTTTAGATCATCAGTATCTTAATGACTGAGCTATGATATTTTAAGCATGTCTGTTTCCTTCCCATGAGCCTAGTGTTCCCAGTCTTCATCCAGAGAGCCATCTAGATTTCCAGTTCTTTTCTGTTTTTGCCTTTTATTGTTTAGTTATGGACTTCGACTGCATTCCTAATAAAGCTTGCTTTCTGTTTTACATCGAGACTTTGGTCTTCACTTGGAGCCACTCCTGTCCATCATCAACACCAAATGCCTTTGCAACGAGCCTTTCAGTCTCACTTTTAGCCCTGGAAGATGAACAGTCTCTGCATCTTAATCATGACATTATAACCTGTTCCCGTCCTGGTCTCTTAATCAGGGAGTCTTGATTCACTTGCTGTTCCATTAAGATGTTACATTTCACATCACAAAGTGTACTGAACATGGGAAAACACAGACCAGATGCTCTCACAGACCTCCACAGAGGATTAACCGGTGTTACTCAGTCACTTCAGTAACTAAGGTTCAGTCCTTTTTTTCCTTTTAGCCAGGCTGTCACAGATCTTATGGTACATTTGTCATACTGTACATACTGCAGTTTATAATAATATTGTTATTACATCAGTGGCACATTGATATTCCAAAAAACATTTTGCTTCTTGAAGAACGTGGGAAAAAATATCATGTAACAAATAATAAACACAGTTTATCCCCTATAGTAATTGTTGCACTTTCAAATAAAAGATAAAAGGTATTAAATTCCTATATCAGGAGCAACACACAGGTTTGTGTACTGAACTAATTACAGTTGTGTTTTGATGAAGTTGCTGACCTGTTTCTCCATCATTGCTTTCTCATATTCCCCCTGTACCACATCAAGCTCTGCCTGCTTGGCGTCTAGCTCAGCCTGAGCTTTCTGAAGGTCCGCATTAGCTATGGTCAGACGATTCTCCTGCACGGCCAAGTTAGCCTAGAAAAAACAGAGAAAACAATGAAAGAGTGTGGAGGGGAGAGCTGTGATGGTTTGTTTGTTTGCTTTGTTTTTGCACATTAAAAGCTTCAGGTAAAAACAGAGAAAAAGTCATTAAATAGTTAAATGGTTAGTGGGATGCCAGTTTATCTCACAGCATGCGCAACCCACAAAGATTAAATGCAGCAGCCAGCGTTCAACTCTAACCCATGGCCTCAGTTACCAGTGTGCTATCTAATAGAGGCAGAAATGTCTGAAAATGGTTAGTAAGATATTTAGAAGAATGGACATAAACACTGAAGAAAGAGTTTGAAGATGACAGAAGTAAGCAAAAAGATAGTTTGTGTATAGAGCTAGGGTTGTAGAGAAAGAAAAGAAAATCCCGTCTCATCTTTCTGCATGTCTGTCCATTCGACTGTATCTCTGTATCCAGCTTAAAGGGAAAACACCACTGGGCTCGAAACCAGAAAATCTGTTTTGTAGGCTGTGCTCCACAAAAGGTCAAAATAAAACAACAGTGCCGAGGGATGTGTATATATGTAGCTGTGTGTGAGTGTGTTTGGAGGGGATTAGGGAAACAAAGTGGAAAGGAGGAAAAAGAAATTGGTGGCTAGAGCAAAAAGAATAGAATGCAGTTAAGAAAAGAGAGAGGTGTTGAATGAGAACTAACAAGGGTGACAGCAACAGATGTCATCATCAGGCAACATTTCCAAAAGCATAAATGTACACTGTAAATGCCTTTAAATGACTATGACCATCAGACATTCACAGCAGCTTGTATTTACTTGTAGTTAACCGAGTGGGTGATTCTTCAGAAGAATTTTGCCTTTTGTGTTGGTGAAAGCACATGTTACAGCCATGGGTCACCTCGCTCTTTCATCTGGCGTGATTAGCCCTGTCTGTTTTGTATGCTTATTAGCATGTGCAAGCCCCTGTTAATGATTGGTGCCTGGACTTGTCTCTCATCCTGCCTCCTGGCCTGCTCTGCGTTCTCTCACGAATGACTGGACAGTTGCCCCGGTGCAGTGGTTCAACTGGAATACAGCACTAATCACAGCAGCCGCTTTAAAAGAGCTGCCACTTTGCTATTCAGGACAGTGTGAACAACGTGCCATGCTGTGTTTCCTGATTGGCATGAACTAAAGGTTGCTTGTTAGCTAGTTTTGTATTGTTTGTAGCTAACAAGCTTCTGCAAGCAACTCTGTGTAGTGCTTCTCATGATTCTGTAACCTCTTCCGTTGACCAAGCTCGGCACACTCATCCAACTAGAGACACTCAGTTTAGAGGGTGACTAGTTAAGTAAGTTTGTCCCTTTAAAAAATGATAAGTAAAAGAGAGATTAGTTGAAGTAAAGTTCAGTTGCTTCTGGTTAGAAAGCGGTCATTGGCACTGTCTGGCATCTTTATATCCACTTTTCCATTGTGCTTAGACTACATTATCTCTAAACATATTTTCTAAATTTCTATATTTTTTGACCAAATAATTTTCTGTTTGGAAGAATTAACTGCTGAATAAGGTAAGGCTGAATATTAACACTTTAGAAACGTTCTAACATTGAAAATGTTAGCTCTGTATTCTCTACTAAGTCATAAGTCCTTTTTCCCCAAAAACAGCCACAGATCAAGAAAATGTTTGATTTAAAGGTCAATCATGGATGCAATACACCGTTTTTCTTTTTGTTAAACACTTTACTTTGCCTTTAGTGGCTGATTTTGCTGATCCATTTAGTTGTCAAAAATGGCACACACAAAAAAATGACAAAAATAAAGATTTAGTATGTTTGTATTTTATCTCTGGGGTAAGCATGAAGGTGAGAGAAGGCTCAGCTGGTAAGCTTTTAGCTTACACAACTTGTGATGCTGTGCAGTAATAATCAAGACTTTGCACATATTTCTGCAGATATCAGATCTGGGTGTGTGGATTTAATAATTCATAATTAATAATTGAATAATTCACAGGGATTCCAGTGACATAAAGCGAATAAATAGTGCAGCCTGCTGCATAAATAAGCAGTCTTTGAGCACAAGGAGTCTGAGGAAATCCATTTTCAGGCTTGTATCACAAGATTAAAAACGTAAGCCTTGAAAATCTGAGATGCACCCAATGTTTATAATCAGTGGATAAATACTTCTGAATTTTGCTGCACTTCAAACTTCTACCATCAGCAAATTATTGCTGCTGCAGTGTGGAAATGTGCCTTTTTGTGCTTTTGTGGCTTGTGGTTTTTCTACAGAATGAAATGTTTCATATTCATCAGATTGGGAGAATAGTCCAAAAAGTGTGTGTGTGTCCCTAATGTTACACATTTTAGGAGGTGTTTCATAATACATATTTGTAAGGGTGAGTTTAACTTACAGATGCCAATTGGTAGTCAGTGGAATAGTAGATTATTCAGTTCACTTTCTGCTTTCTGAGGAAGCACTCTACTAGATCTGCAATAATGTTTGTTACCTTCAAGGGCAAGACCTCCTTGTTGATGGAAAAGAAGGAAGCCATGGCTTTGGTCCAGGATGCTATGCCAGCTACATTGCCACACACCCTCTTGGCTGTTTCGATGTTGTAGTCAGGCATTTCGAAATAAGGCTGCAGGAGCTCCACAGTTTCCCTATTAATGCTGTCCTTGGGGAATTGCTTCAGGAGGGAAAAGAGGCAGAAAAAACAGAATGAGTATGCGGCGGTTTAATCTGGGACTTATTTCAGCCTGTGCATTTAGACAAATGCTGAAAATGCAAAGCTATACAAAACCAGAGAAAATGAAAAAATACATACTGAAAGGGACAAAGACAGAAAATAGAGCATGTACTCAATTGAGACCAAAATTGCATCAGGATGAAAAAAAAACTATTTAAATCAGGGCATCAATGGGTTATGTTTAAAATAAAAGGTGTTTACAAATAAATATTTTAATAAGACATGAACCACTTTTATGGAAGTGCAGAGACTAAACTCTTAAGAGTCTAAGTTTAGCCCTTTCTATTATGTAGAATGTAGCTTTCATTCATGTTAAACATGGCAAATAACACAAAGCATAAATCCTGAATCATGTGTTGAGATAATATGAGCACTTCAGTCTTAACTATATACAAATTAAATAAATGTTACTGCACCTGCAGACTGCCCAGGAAGTTTCCAGCAGTCATGAGTTTTAATGACTCCTGCCATGAAGGAGTGTTGCAGTTCTTCTCTGGGTCAACTTTCACAGGGTTGACCTTCCTCTGGAAGAGCAGCAGCACGCAGTCCATGATCCGCATGATGAGGTGAGGGGGGCGACCGAGTGTCCGTACTGTGCAATATCCGACGGTTTAATTGTCTATGTGGGCAAAGAGGACAAACGGAGAGCGGGAGAATTTAGAACAGTCATTTACTGTATGGCATGACCCCGATGGGAGAGCTGGAAACATGTGACAAGTAAGTCGAGTAAGGATTTGACGCCAGCAAACTGGACAAACGCAGAGCATGTTAGGAGACGATTAGAGCAGCGCGTTACTATGACGAGAACAAAGGATAAATCATTTGTTTCTCATTACCGTGTTCAAAGAAGAGACAGATACATTAATGAGGATTATACCTAATTCTCCAGTTTCAGAATATAAAAGCAGAGGAGGTGTGCAGAGGGAAACAACACGACGACTGTAAGTATAAACTGTGGCAGAATGAGAGGAGTTCAGGAGAGGGTGACACAGGATTTCCTCCAGGGACTGATTAAAACAAGAGACAGCAGACCAGTAAAGAAAATGTTCCTGTGAGAACTGTTCGGCTGCTTTACTCTCTTCTTATCTTTTCTTGTTTTGCACTTCCCATTTCTGTTCTCTCTTCCTTGCTCCATTTCCACTCAGTGCAAGCCTGAATTTCCCACTAGAGTGTCAGCCACCAGACAGTCTGGGTTATCATGTACTTCTACTTTCACTAGCCTATATCCTCTATTCTCCTACAGCTTCTTATGAAAATCTCTCACTAAGCCCATTGTTACAAAATAAAATCATCACTCCAGTTCAGCAAGAACTACAAAACTAAACCATTTTATGCTTTACTGTCATCATTAATCCACTGTAACTATTAGCAAATCAGCTCCTTTTGTATGACAAGGAAATGTTATAGAATGGTACCGTTACCTTGAGTTTGCACACACACAAACTCGGTCCTTTTAAAGGCTGGGTGAATATCCAAATTAATCAGGAAACAGAACCGGTCGGTGAATATTTTAATGTGACAGTGTGGTATGAAAAGCCTGAAGAAAGGAAACATGAATTCCTTCAACTCCTCTGCCACTAAAACTGATGTTCTTGAATAAGTTAGAAAATATCTTTTACTTTAATCTCGCTATACTGCAGAACACCAGCAACATTAGGAAGAGTCTTGGGTTGTCTGTTTAGAAATCCGAGGTTTCTATATGCAGTTGCACGATAACATTTTTTTAATGAGGGAATTGCCACAGGAGCTCTGCATGCAACCATCTACCCAGGAGGACAGCTTTAATTACAATGCAGCTAGAGGCACCAGACGACCATACTAAGTTTAGACACACCAGGACAGTAAAGCTGCAGGCAGAAACATTCATACAGCTTCACACATTAAGTCACAGAGGGCTTTAAGTGGCACCCTGAAGCAATACATAGTAAAAGAGCAGGAGAAATCTAAATTGGGTAAATGTAAGTCACACATTAAAGCACAAAAAGACTGCCCTCACTTTTTTAAATATTCAAGTTATATTGTAGGGTTAGATCATGAAGGCAAAAGCAAATATGCTTTGCTTTACTGGATCAAACATGCTTACATTCACCCCCCTAAAGCTGTGACACAGGAAAAACTCTGCTTATGAGTGAAATAATCTAATAGCTACAAGACTCGTGGTGTCTACAAGATGAACTTTGATGACTCTGGTGATCTCCCGCCTTTTTTCACTGGCACTAACATTAGGGTGACATTTGGTTCATGAAATCCAGTTCAGACAACGATGTCACGTTGCTGTTGAATGATTAATTGCAATCATTTTTCCAGCACATTTTGTAATCTTCAGATCATTTTAATTTGTCTCGTTAAGTGATTTATGATCAACTACCTGCAAAACTAATTATCCTATAATACACCCCCGGTCCAACACACACACGCACACCACACTCACACTCACCGCCAATGTGGTACTCAAAAAAAAATACTCAGGTTTAACATTTAAACTGAAATGGTTCGTATAGCATGTTGTGAATCTCTAGCATGGCTATAGGCTCTGAGTGATTTAAAAGAAAACAAACAAACAAACAAACAAACAAAAAAGACGTCTGAACGTAGATATGTCTACCTGAGAAATTTAAGTCTGGAGGGAAGCCTTGGAGGCATGTATTCAACATTGCTGTTTCAACATCCCATACCTGCAGCGCAGCCTCTGCCTCCTCGAGAGCTGGCCGGGCAGCTTCGAGTTTCTCCTCAGCGATGGCCTTGTCAGCTGAAATGCTGTCCACAATGGCCTGCGCCTTGTCCTTCACCTTTTGTACCTCTACCTTCACTCGCTCTGCTGCCTGGGCTTTTACTGTCACCTCCTTCAACACCTGCACAAGAAAACAAACACACATTATAAGTGACAGAGAAATGATTTGAAGCTGGGAGACTTTCTCAGCTGAGAAAAGATCGTAAGTGTGGTTAAGTAGAAAACAGAATGCTCAATCCAATGGGAGATGGCAGATCTGAGCATTTGTAACACTGAAGAGGCTCTACCTGATATAGAGGTCTCTGTATAACAAGAGTGAGTGTTCACGAATGGAGGGAAAAAAAGAGACGGCTTAAACTGCTTCACTTATGCTGAAGCATGACTGTAAAAAATACACATTCGTCCCATTAAACATCTATTTGTCTTATTTCTCTCACTGCAAGAGGGTAATTTTACGCAACAATACAATATTCCCCAAACAATCACTGGAAAGCCTGATTCCCAGCAACGGACACAATAAACACTTCATCTCTTCATTCTGTGTTCACTTTCTTATTAATGCATGAAACTTTATATTAGTGTCTAATACAAACTAGCATGTATCCATTCAATTCTGTTGATTAGTTCATAGACCGTGTTGCTGTTTTAATAAAAATGCAACTAAAAAGCCAGCTGAAGCATTCTGTATGCTTGTTGAACCTTAAACCCACACACATACAAATAAAAATCCCCTCCCTGCCTACAAACGTACCATATCAGCCTTGTCATTGGCAATCTGTAGCTCCTTCTCTTTCACCTCCAGTTCTTTGCTGAGAGCTGCCACTGACACCGATGCCTCCTTCAGCTTTTGGAGACCAGTATTCATCCTGAAGAGGAGAAATTTTGAATACAGTTGATCAAGTCAAATATGATTACAGCAAACTTGTTGCTTCTGTGTACTGTCTGTCTACTATCTGGGTTTCTGTTTGCTTAAATGGCAACACAACTTGCATATGTTATCATTTGCACAACATTGTTGAACTCATTTTGAACAATTTACCTGTTGGCCAAAGTCTGAACTTCAGACCTCTTTTCTTTATAGATGGTTTTGTAGCCTTGAATGAAGGATAAATAAGACTTGGGTGTGACATGGGTGGAGCGTCGGTATCTAAATTCAAACAAATTGGGTTACATTAATACTGCAACATGCTAAATATTATGACAATCATCATGCGTTGCAGACACACATAAAACAATCTTCACATATATGCATATAATCTTCAAACACACATATATATATATATACATATATATTAGGGGTGCAACGATATTCGTATCGATATTGAACCGTTCGATACAGTGCTTTCGGTTCGGTACGCATATGTATCGAACAATACAACATTTGTAATTTATTTTATCAACTTTCCTTCTGACGATGCTGTCTGTGTGGAGCGCTCAGTGAATCTGCGTTCGACTACTCCGCCTAGGCTGCACTGTCGAGCGCAGATCCACTGAGCGCTCCACACAGACAGCATTGTCAGAAGGAAGAGCGCAGGGCAAGCTAGCGAGACAGAAGTTAAGCTCTCCTTGCAACATGGCAAATTGAACCTCCCCCACCCTCATTCAGATCTGGCGTTTGGAATTATTTTGGTTTTCATGTGACGTATGACCCTGAAGGTAAGCACGTCATGGACTAAAGTAAAACAGTATGTTGGATGTGCCACGCAATGCTCAATTACATGGGTGGGAGCTAGTGTGTTAGCGCAGTTAGTTCGTTAACGTGTTGGCCGTCTAGCCCATGCACGGGGCTATCAGGGGTAGCTCGTTAACGGAGATTTGCTGTGTTGTGGCGTTAAGGTCATTTCAACGAGATTAACCTGAAAGCACTAGTGGGAACACAACGAATATGACTGCACATTTACGCCGACATCATCCTAGTGCAAAGACAAAAACAACAAGCATGCTACTAACTTTAGCCGAGTTATTTAGACAGCTGTTAGCACATGAGTCTCCTTATGCTGCTGAGAATATAGCCCAGAAGAAGCGGATAGCATAGCTTTTATTTTGGAAAGAGGCATTTCTCTGTAATAAACTCTCTTTTCCAAAGATGAGTGATTCCTCAATCAGATACAGGGCTCGCAATATCGCTAGCCCGACGTCCTGGGGCTAGCGATTTTTTTCAGACGGGCTACCCTGCCCGTCGGGCTATTGTAGGAAGGAAAAATATATGTCAATGCTTTTGCATTCTTTCAGAAATGTAGCTGGGTAATTATGTCATTGGCATCGGTGAGCCACTGTCAATATGTGACATATTGAAATCGCGTTTGAATTTGCGCTTGTTTTTTTGCTTTCACTTTGCAATCTTGCGAACTGTGTATAGAGAGCGACAGCACTGATCTGTGAGTGATGATAATTTGTGCACCAATTCCTCTGACATCGTCTTATTAATCGTTAGCTTACTATGCAAACATGACAAGTGAAATCTCCCGCAGCAAGCTTAAACATGTGAGAGGTTGATCGCGCAGAGAATCGCTGAGCTTATGTGAGTGTGTGTGTAAAAGCATTTCAGTTCTGCTGAGCCAAATAAGACAGGTCGGGGTGAAGAAGTGACAGCCAAAGAAAAGCTTACCACAAAACGGAGAAGTTATGACAAATGAGACTATAAGGCAAAAAGAAAGTGCAGCTTTATGGTTTCATGGACAAAAGAATTTCTGTGGCTGCAATATGACGAGCTAAATAACCAGGGCTGCACATAAGTGGTCCGCAGGTGCGCATTCGCTGTCAAAATAAAAAACACGCACAAGGGTTAGGGTTAAATTTAAAAACTGTACTTTTGAGTTAAAATATATATTTATAATTTTAATAAATGACAAATTAAAAAGGCATGAACATTTTTTTGTATCGAAAAAATATCAAACCGTGACACCAAAGTATCGAACCGAACCGTGAATTTTGTGTATCGTTGCACCCCTAATATGTACTGTACCTCTGGAAGTAGTCCACACATTTCTCCGCTACACCATCCTGGAAGGAGCCCATGCACTGAACTACCTCACATTTAACCTGGGCTGAGCAGTCTATGTCATAAACAGACAGGAAGTGCTCTGAAACTGAAGGACAGGAAGAAACGAGACAGGACATTATTAACTGAAGAAAAACCTCAGAGAGCGCAAAGAAAGTCGATATCTTGTATTCATATAACAGCATCCACTTTGAAATAAACAGAGTATAACATGTACCGCATACATTTTTGAAAAGAAATGCGAGCACCAGACAGGTCACATTTGTGAAAATAAAACTGTGTGTTAAAAATACCTGCAACCAGTGCATCTTTGGGCCAGCGGCTGAACCAGTCCATGGTGCAACCAGAGATCAGCGCCGGAAACTTCAACGCTCGGTTCCGGAACTTCTCCCCAACAGGGGAAAAGCACAGAATGACGTGGAGATTATGTCGAACTCGTGACATGAAGTAATCGTACAGGTTTCCGTTGGTTGGAGGTCGCCGGGGAAACTCTCGCTTCATGACAGGGATGAGATCATTGAGGATATCATCTATTTCGTCACGGGCAAACAAGTTGGACACCTGAAGGCAGAAACATGCAGTTGTGTCTCTGATATCACAATACTGACGGACCTAACCATAGTTCGCTCGTTTAACACTTTTCTTAATTTCGGCTGTCGTCTCTTACAACTCATGGCCGCAGCGTTTTTTAGCTGATGAGCTGATGGAGCTCCGATGTGTCTCATCCTCCCCTGCAGCCATTCCCAAGCCACACCCCGCCACAATCCATGTACCTGTACTGCTGTGTATTTTAAAGCTCAAACATTTCTACTCCGATAATAGTGCCAACCAAATCTTTTACAGAGTAATTTTTCAATCTGATCTGATCAAAGATTTCCCATACAGAGATCTAGCAGTTGCAGCTTTTAAATGCAGTGATTAGCACTGTCACCTCACAGGAAGGCTGTGGGTGCAAACCTTGGACGTTCTCTTCAAATACAATGGCTTCCTCCCACAGTCCAAAGACATGAATGTTAGAAACATTCATGTATTTCCCTACACAATACTGTGTTTTATTGACCATTTTTTAACATTATTTTAATTGGATCTTCTTCTTCCTCACACTTCACAATAGTTGTCACTTCTTCTTACCTCAACCTCTTTCCTTAGCAATTTCAGTAGAAGTGTATATTGGTTGGCTGATGAACTAAATGTATGTGACTGCTGGCAAAAAATCTTGAAATGGTGAGTTTTAAAACAGCTTGCTGGGTGGGTACAAGTTTAACCAAGTGGATGAAGGTACGAGATTCACTGTTTAAATGTTTTAAGCTGAGTCATTTCTCCAAATCCCCAGTTTCCATTAGAGAGAACATGTAACTCAGATTTAAGAAAGTGAAACAGTGTCATGGGGGACTATGTGGTGTTGTGGTAAGTGTCCCTAACCATCTGTTACTCTCACAAAAAAACAATATCACGATAACAGCTTGCTTTTCCTTTTTGTTTCTCATCTCTGTCACTTTCTCTCACACAGTAAAGAAAAGAAGACAAAAAGATGGGAAAATAAATAATTGAAAGAAGGGAAAACAAGTGGGAAACTAACAGGGAAAAAGCAACTGCATGGCTCTTATCATGGTGTTCCCATAGTGTTAAATGTCAAATCCAATGATATCCACTGACTTCGAACAGTGTAAGAGCTTCAGCTTGGTGAGTGCTGGTAAACCTCACTGGAAGCTTAATACTTGTCACATGAATTGATCTGACTTCTGACCTCTTTTATTAAGTGACTTCCCGAATAACAAAATGTAAATATACGGAGTTCAAAATAAGGGCTTTGAAAGTTGTCTAAATATCCTGTGGTGGCAAAAATTCATACAACCCCTCCCAACTGTGTAAACAAACATGGAGAGGAGGAGAAAAGATGAGAAGGAAAGGGAAGAGAAAATATAACCATCGAGTAGAGAGAAGACAGTAAGAAATGTGCATAAGAACTAGCGGGGAAAAAAATCAAAGGGCAGGACAAAGATGAAAACAAAATTCTGGGAGTGGAGAAAGAGTCTTTCAGCAGATGTAATGAAGAATGCTGTAGTACACAGAGGTGTACTTGTATGTGATTGTCCATTATAGTTTCATTTCATTACAAATATCAAAGAGAAAATAACTGCAACTCGGTCATAATGGTGAGGAAAATACACTTTTAAAATTGCACTGAACTGATACGACTCGTGCTCTCTTAAGATTGCATTCATGACCGGTTCAACCTGCTTCAGGTGATCATTCCTGTCGGCTTCTCCGCCAAGCCTGCTGCCACTAAAATTCGTTAAGGCTGTGTTTTAACTGGAGATTTTACGGAGAATTGGAAGACCATCACAAACCTCAGTACTGGGAACAAGCTAGCAAAAGAGTTTAGCTAACGTAAGCTAAAGTGGCAGTGTCTGTTTTTGTTTTTGACGCTGTCGCCGGTACGAGATTCCGGAATGGCACCACTTACCTCAACATCCAGCTGTGAAAGCTGCATCAACCTGAGCCAAAAAGTGATCGAGCTGGAACAAAGGATATCCACGCTATACCAAATCCAGGGGGCTGAATGCGAACTTGACACGATCCTCCTTGGCAAAGCTCAAACCACCGCTACTAGCGCTGAGCTAGCCGACACAGTGCACCATCCAGCTGCTGTGTCCCAAGATCCCGCCAACAGTCAACACAGGCTCTCAACTTGCGTCGCTGCTGCTTCTGCCAAGGACGAGAACTCCTGGTTTCAGCTAGGGGCCAGACCCAAGGCTCTGGTCAGCTCCACTCCACTCCAACCAGCGCCATGGACCATGGTTGAGACGCGTGGTGGCTGCAGGAGGATCCGTCTCTCGCACCCTCACCCCTCTGGTGAGGTAGTATTGGAGAATAAATTCAATGTCCTGGATCCTGTGGACTTTCCTCCTCTGACTGCTAGCCCTCGCCATCCCGCTGTGTCGCAGAGGTCTGCGCCATCTCCACCACTACGCCCCCGGAGCCGCGGCGGGCAACCCGACGCTGTGGTGCAAACTCACCGCGGAGAGCTGTGCTTTACCCCGGCTCCTCGGAGAAGAGGACCCACGGCGCGGCTACCTGGGAGTCACTCACGCAGTCCGGCTGGCGCATCTCCATCTGAACACCCCCGGCGTCGCGGCGCGGGCATCTCAGATGGCCAACAGCCCCCAGTGGCACCTCCTCTCTCCACGCTGGTCCTCGGGGATTCCATCGTCAGGAACGTGCGGATGAGGGGGGCGCTCACGCTGTCGTTCCCGGGAGCCACTGTTGTTGACATAGTGGACAGAATTCCCAACATTCTGGCATCCCACCCACAGGTTAACCGGCTCATCATCCACATCGGCACCAATGACATCCCCAAACAGCAATCTGAGCTGCTGAAGTTGGACTTCCTCGAACTCTTCAGCCTCCTTGGTCAGCTGCAGGTGAGTGCTTTTATCTCTGGGCCCACCCCCACCTGTGGCAGAGGGATAGGCCGCTTCAGCCGGCTGCTCAGCCCTAACACCTGGCTTTCCTCCGCCTGTGTCTCCCACGGCGTGGGTTTTATTAACAACTTTGATGCCTTCTGGGAGAGGAGGCATCTTTTTGGGGCAGACGGGCTCCACCTCAACGCCTGGGGACGCCGTTTGCTGTCCGCCAATTTGGCATTTGGCGTACAGCACTCCCGCACATCGCCCTGTCACTACCCCAAACTGACATTACCTGCTGATCCGTCTGCCACTGACTGATGTTCCCCTGGTCCCAGCTCCTATATTTGTTCCACTTTTAACAGTAATACACAAAACTCTGGACTAGGACCTTTCTCTCCCACAGTCAACACAATACCCGTCATAATCACAAACAGAGAGCAACAGAATTATCATAAATCCAGTAACTCCAAAAATATTAATAACCTCCGGCCTCTTCAAAAATATCAACATCCATCCAACTCTATTGTCAAAAATCCACCAGTCTCAATCAGTATGGCACTTTTAAATGTACGCTCTCTGTCGAACAAGTCTTTTATTATTAATGATTTAATTATAGATAATAAACTTGACTGTTTATTTTTAACTGAAACATGGCTGGGTTCGGATGCACCAGTTTGTTCTCACTGAGGCCTCCCCACCAAATTTTAATTTCTCTTTTTCTATTAGAAGTGGTAAGAGAGGTGGTGGGACTGCATCTTTAGCCAACAACACACTCACCACCAAACAAATTTTATTTGATCATTTTACCACTTTTGAATTCCATGCTATTGTTTTCAGCAGCCCTCCAGTTTTATCTGTCACAGTTTATAGACCACCTAAAGACAGCGCTGCTTTTATCAAGGAATTCTCAGAATTTTTAACAAACATACATTCAAAATATAACATGATAATTTTAACCGGTGATTTTAACCTGCACATAGATAATCCTTCTGACCCTGCAACAAAAGAATTCTTAAACATCCTTCACTGTTTGGATTTTACCCAGCATGTCACGCAGCCGACTCACAACAGAGGACACACTCTGGACCTGGTCATCACCCATGGGCTGTCCACCAGCGTGTCCTCTGTTGTTGACTTGGCTGTCTCTGACCACTACTGTGTGTTTTTTAACATCACCGGTTTTATTCAGCGGGAGACCTCGGTGCGAACTGTGAGGAGGCGCTATCTAACCTCTGAAGTGGCTGCAAATTTTACCAGGGTTTTAGACGAATGCCCCCCTGTGATTTTACCTGCATCCTGCGATTTGATTTTTAGTTACTTCAACAGCAAACTGAAGAAAAGCCTTGACTCCGTTGCTCCACTCACCACCAAAAAGATTAACGTAAAACATGCATCACCCTGGAGAAACGAAGAAGTCAAAAAACTCAAAAGAAATTGCAGGGCAGCAGAAAGGAGATGGAGGAAAAATAAAAATACTATCAACCATCAAATATTTTGCGAGCAACTTAAAGTGTACAATAATACATTAAGGAAGTCAAGAAATTCATACTTCGCCAAAATAATCAGTATTAACAAAAATAATCCCAAGGTCCTCTTTTCCACCATAGATCATTTATTTAACCCTGATTTTAACAGCTCCCAAAGAACCCCCACAGACTCGCTCTGTGAGCAGTTTGCAGACCACTTCAGGGGAAAGATCAGCGCCATCAGATCTGATATTTTATCTAATCGCGATATGATTGTAAACACATCTGAGGGCTCGATTGTACCTGAGGAGACACTGGACAGCTTTGTCCTGGTTAATGCTGAGAACTTTCAGAAGGTTTTCTCCACAGTGAGACCCACCACATGTCTTTTAGATCCAATTCCTTCTTCACTCTTTAAAACACTTTATGGATTTTTGAGGCTGAGCTTTTATGCATGATGAATTGCTCTCTTCAGTTGGGTGTCTTCCCTGCTGCCTTTAAAACGGCGGTGGTGAGGCCCCTTCTGAAGAAGAGCAATTTGGATTGTAATGATTTTAATAACTACAGACCTGTATCCAACTTACCATTTTTAAGTAAAGTCTTAGAGAAACTTGTTTTTACTCAGATTACTGATTTTCTCAATGATAGACAGATCCTGGAGATATTCCAGTCTGGATTTAGGGTGAACCACAGCACAGAGACGGCTCTCCTAAAGGTTTTAAATGATCTTAGATGTAACTGGGACTCCCAAAAGCTCTCAGTCCTGGTGCTACTGGATCTAAGCGCAGCCTTTGATACAGTAGACCACGCTATTCTTTTAAACAGACTGAAACACATGGTGGGCCTCTCTGGTGCTGTACACAGCTGGTTCACTTCCTATCTCTCTGACAGAACTTTTATGGTGAGTATGGATACATGCTCCTCTAAGATCCATAAAATGACATGTGGTGTGCCTCAAGGGTCGGTTCTAGGCCCTGTACTTTTTAATTTGTATATGCTCCCTCTCGGCGGTGTCATCAGGAGGCATGGAGTGAACTTCCACAGTTACGCTGATGACACGCAGCTGTACATCTCCGTGTCTCCTGATGACACCAGACAAATGGATGCCCTTTTTAACTGTATCTTGGATATAAGATCTTGGATGGCAGAAAACTTTTTACAACTTAACCAGGACAAAACTGAAGTTTTAATTGTCGGTCCTGAGGCTCAGAGAGAGAAACTCTTGCCTAAATTAGAGGCATTTTCACTATGTCCTTTGCTACAAGTGAAAAACCTGGGTGTTATTTTTGACTCTGAGCTTGGTTTTATCCCACATATTAAACACGTAACTAAAATTGGATTTTATCATCTAAAAAATATAGCCAGAGTCCGCCCTATTCTCTCTCGGGCCAACACGGAGATGCTGATGCATGCTTTTATTACCAGTCGCATTGATTACTGTAATGCCCTGCTCTCTGGTCTTCCTAAGAAGAATATTTCAACTTTACAACTCTTGCAAAACTCGGCAGCTCGTGTGCTGACGAAGACCAGAGGGCGGGCCCACATTACACCGGTTTTAGAATCGCTGCACTGGCTCCCCGTGTGTTTCAGGATCGATTTTAAAGTTCTTTTATTGGTTTTTAAATGTCTTAATGGTCTTGGGCCTTCTTATCTCTCAGATCTGCTTTTACCATACGAACCCTCGCGGACCCTGAGGTCCTCTGGTACTGGCCTTTTGATTGTCCCTAAAGTCAGGACACATACTCACGGAGAGGCAGCTTTTCAGTGGTATGGTCCTCGTCTGTGGAACAGCCTGCCGGAGGAGCTCAGGGCCGCAGAGAACGTACATGTTTTTAAGAACAGGCTCAAGACCCACCTTTTTAATTTAGCTTTTACTTAGCGTTTATTTATTTTATGCTTATTTATTCTATCCTGTTATTCTATTATTAATTTAGGATTTACCTAATATTTGTTTGATTTTATTCTTATTCGTTTTTTAATCTTCTTATTCTATTTATATTTATATTGTATCCTGTTCTTATTTATTTTATCATTTTACCCTATATATATTGTATTGCGTCATATCTCCAGTGTTTCCTCGGAGGGCGCTCTCTGCACCGGGGCTGTTATTGACCGTGGCTGCTGGGTCTCTGGGGTCCTCTCAGACTGGCTGGGGGGCTCCTTTGCCTCCCTCCTGCTGTGTGCCCAGCCTGGAGGCTGCGGTCTGTGACCGGCTCCCGGTGCAGACGGCTCCCTGTTATAGTGTTTCCTCACTTGGCTCATGCGAGCCCAGCCCAATTTTTACTCTTTAAGTGTGCGCGTGTGTGTATGTGTGTGTGGGTGGGGGGATATATGTGTATTGAGAGTGTGGGGAGTGAGTTGGAGGGTGGGGTGGGCTGCTTTTAACTATGTAAAGCACTTTGTGCTACATTTTCTCTGTATGAAAAGTGCTTTATAAATAAAGATTGATTGATTGATTGATGAAATGTTTACTGCACTCAAAGCGGAATGCAGTGCTAAAACAAAATGTTGTCTTCTAACATGCTTCTTTATCCTGCTCTTTTCCTTATCTTCTCACACAGGCCTCAAAGGTTTTTCATGTTAAAATAGAGTCCTTTCTCCCAAATGTCACCAAGTAATTGCTTGTTGAGGACTATTGGGATTCTCTTTAATATTTTAAGGGTTTGACCTCACAATTTGAAGCACTTTGAGTAGACTTGTGTTGTAAACTGATGATTTTTAAACAAAACTAAATTAAGCTGACTTGAAGTGAATATACACAGCTATCTGAGCGAGTACAACAGTTTGTAGGTTTTCCAAAACTATGTGTGACTGTTAAATAGCTGGTGCCAGTGCTTTCATAAAAAGATAATATGTGAATCAGACAATTATAGTTGTGCCAAAGAATTCATAAATTGTACAGTTTTCTAATAAACACCACCTCTAAGTCCACCTCTCCAGTAACTATAAAGCAATTCAAAGGCAAATTACAAAAATATAAATATAAAATGCATGCAATATAAAACATTAAGTTTGTAAAGCATGCAAAGAAAAGCTGCAGAACAAAGACACCAATGGATTGAAAACTTGCTTAAGGAAGCACCAAGTAGCTTTCTGTACTGTAGTGCCTTACAGACCAATTACAGTAACATTATCTAATATAAAATATCAGTATGAGTCATTCAGATGGACTATCAGACAATGAGACTCCAACCTCTTACTTAAACTTGGAACCATATATTTTTCAACACCAACACTAACTGAGCTCTGTAAACAGTTTTATAAACAGTTAAGGTTTTATGGCAGGCTTACATTTCAGACTTTATGATATAATTTTAGGGGATGAACACAAAACTTGCATTAAGTGTTGAGGAATTTTAGCCATTTAGCAGAAAAGTCAATGAAAAGTCAGTCAGTCTTTGTCCAAACCCATCTAGAAAAGCAAGAGTAGCTTTGGAAAAAAACATTTTAGAGAATATATAACTATGGTAAACCTGTATAATAAAGACAGGAAATAAAAGGTATGGATAACATTTTGAATGCCTTATGAACAGAGACTGAAGTGGCCCAGAATAATCTAAAAGGCCATTTCAGCACCTTCAGCTAATGAGCAATAAAATTTAACAGAATGCGCATTGGTGTCGCTTCCAGTGACGGCATGATACGGCTCAGTACATAATAAGAATAATTACATTTTCTGCTTAAGCTCTCAGCACATTCCATATTTCATTCTTGACCCTGTGATGGCTTTATGGTGCTGATATTATTAAAGTTACTAGCGCTAGCTAGAGGCTGTACTTTAGCCTGTTGTGCTACAGAACAGGAGTTTGAATAAATAGAGTAACTCGTTTTGTTTTGTCTTTTTTTTTTTTTTTAAATAAAGGTGGGTAATTTCGAGTAACTTTTCACATAATTCAACAAATATCAGAAAACACACAAACTATGTCTGCGCATTTTGCCCCAAAATTCATTTTAGAGTTTTTAAATCAGACATGATGAGTTGCTGACTTGTGTTTTTGGTGAAACATCTTGCAAAACAAACTGAAGTATTCTCCTTTATATTATTCAAAAGTTCCATATAAATACTGCACTAGGCAGTTTGGTACAGTTTAGTGCAGGCTATGCCAGTTACTTTCAAACACTGTGTTGAAGTTAATAGTGACACACTAAGTTGGACTGGTACGGAGCAAGCTGTAGTGTTCATGGTCAATATTAGGCTGCGTCAAGTGTAGCATACATGAATTTCTATTTAAGAAGATGATGAAGATTAGATTCATCTCCCCAAATTCCATCTTTTATACTACCTTTAAAATATCTTGGGGTTAGAAATCGGCCATATAGCTTGTGAAACATGTGCTTATATCTTGTTGACTTCACTTAGCTAAATCCACAAAGAGAAATGGATATCATGGTAGCAACATCACATGGCAGCTTATCAAATAAGACTCTACTAGTGGCTCAAAACAAGTTAGAATGCAACTTATATCTAAGTAACTGTTTCCCCAAGCTATAACTCCTGATTACAAACCATAGGATATACTGTAATATCACCTGAAAAACAACAACAGAGCCAATGCAGTCCATGCACATGCACAGCACTGGATCACTACTGTCTATTAATGATATAAAAGAAGTAGAAACAACCAGATGCCTTTTTAAAGATACCTTAACCTCTCATTGATTATTTAATTTAAAACTATACAACTTTCAAACACTGCACACTGCATATTCTCTTGTTGTTCTGGTCTCACAGCCTTAACTGTGACCCACATTAAGTAGAGGATTACATTACTATGAATACGGATTATTTGGAATCTTTTCTCCTTGTGTGTGCTGCTGACCTCTCCAGATGACAGCACATTATTCATGTACTCCAAGAAGGACTCGTCTTTTATTTCGTTGTCAGTAAAGATGAAGCTGATGCCTTTTCCATGCTGGCCAGCTGTTCTGTACAAACTCTTCAGGTCATCCATCAGGTTGGATGTATTGTATGAGCTGGAAAAGAAAAGCATAAAATAAATATGCACACCCTTTCTTCACTAATAACTAATTTTACAGCTTCTAAAAATCATCCATACGTAGTTAAATGCAATCAAAAAGTGCAGCAGCAGAAAACTAGATCGCATAAAAACTTTAATTCATCTATTTATGTGCCAATTTGCATGAAATTTCTCATGAGATTGAAGCTCAAACTACATTTATTGGTGAGAGCGGTTTAAAAAAAAAGTGTCGGCGCCCCAGTTTGAGGCTTGGACGATGAAAGTGAAGCACATCTTAGCTTGAAAGTTCACCTGCTTTAGTGTGTGAATGTCAAATTTATTGAATTATAAAGAGGCAGATGAAAAATAAGTTAGAGGGAAAATGGAAGAAGCTGCAAATTGGAGATATTAACTGCATAAACAACATGAGAGAGAAACCACAGATTACTTTCATCTGGTTCTTTAATGATTATCAGTGAGATGAGATACTCCATCCTGTAGTTAATAAGAAATTATAACAACAGCCCTAAGTGGCTGGGAGTTACGCTGTGACTGCCAGACTAGATACGCATTGCTGGTTATTAAAAATAAACACACCTGTTCCCAACTCAACCCAGCAAAAGTGATGAGTTGACCAGTTTGTAAAAGAAGAAATAATATTTGAGGACAAAATAATGGCAGTTTGAGAACAATGAAGCTAGTTAAGCAAGATACAGGTAAAGAGTAACCTCTCCACTCAAGGGAGAAAAGCTGCTTAAGTGAAAAGTAACATTGTGTCAGCCATAAGGATAAAGAGCCCGGACACAGACAGCATGACTACTAGCCACTCAGGGCTGCTGTGATGATAGAAATGCTTCTTTATATGCAGTCTAGTGTGCTTCTAAGAATCCACTGCAGCATATATACCAAAATAAATGCTTTTAAAAATCTCTAGTAGGAATAATAGTGTTAGGATAACAAAGTTTAAAAGAAATTGTGTACATTAAAGCAACAAGAAAGTCTAAGTTACTGTACAGACAGAGGGAGAGAAAGAGAGTAAATTGAGTTTGCATGAAATAAGAGAACTATCTGTACTGGATGTGCATCTGAAAATCAGTTTTATGTGTGTATCAGAGAGAGCAGATGAAAAAGAAGGAAGGGGACACACAATAGAGGTATCCGTTTTCACCAGGGATAGCTGTGAAGCTAAGAGGACAAACATGTGGTTCATTAATATTAATAGGAACATTAAAATCTGTTTGGCGAACAAACCGGTGGAAAGTGTGACAATAAATGAATGTAGGGACTGAAGGAGGAAACTACTTGACAGGTTTGGAAGCACGAGTTAGTGATGGTGAGTTAGTATGTTAGTGAAGCCAGAGCTTCTGAGATATCATATAATTAGTATGATATCTGTACCTCTAATGAGAATATACTAGCTGCTGGGCCTGAGAGCTGATAATGCAGAATGTTTCTCATCAGTGACAAAGGTTCTGAGTTTAATGGTTTGATTATAGATGATTATATGATTAATGATTAGATTATAACTAAATCTAACGATTATAAAACAACTTTAGTTTGACATGTTTTGTGAAGAAATTACTCAGAAAAGGAAATCTGACAATGAAAGGTGTTACTACCACTCCACAATCCAATCCTTAGGAGGTTTACAACTTACACCACCCTACCTACATCATTAATAATATTAATATTAATTTTTGCCAGCACACTACCGTGTGAGCGTGATCTGGAAGATCTTGTATCCAGCTATGAACGAGGCCAATCTGGTCAGGCTCTGTTTGCCAGAACCCCCAACCCCCACCAGCAGGGCATTACCTCCCGGTGTTCGGATTATCCTCGACACCTACAAATACACACAGAGCTAGAGTCAAATAAGCATGTTTAGATTTGCAGTAAGTTGTAGGCAACAAAGAAAATAGCAAGCAAAGTAGGAATACATTAAAAGATAAAGTAGGAATCTGTGTCTGAGTGCAAATGTCTGGGAGTGAGCAACTGTTTGTGAACGCTCCACAATTTATACTCCTTGAAGTAAAACTGTTAGGATATTCCTTGGGCTTTAAGGTGGTCTGAAAACATTAATGGAGGACTTTGAAATGTAAAAACCCTGACTGATGAAAACGTTAGGAAGTGTAGATTATTTTGGTTGGCACAAACACGACAAAAAACTCTTTAGAGTACCTTGACCAAATGTATCATAGCATCCTGAAAGAAGACCATATCCATGCCAGTACCCCTAATACTTTCATTGTAATGGCTTAGGAACATGTTCAGACGGTCCTTTAAAGTCTCAAATGATTCAATAGGCTCGTACACTTTGGGCAAATCAAAGTCTGAGTCTTCTGGTTCTTCCCCTGTGAGGAAAAAAATGAAAGCAGGTCACAAAACTGAGAAAATCTCTTAAATATATATATATTTCAATATAGTCAGACTCAGTAGTACCTGTGGCCTCAGGGGCATCTCGCAAGAAGTCAACAAAATATCTTTCTGCTACATAGTCCACCATATTCTTGTGCTCTTCACCAAGATGTTCTTCCACCAGCTTTGCCAGAGCCTGGTCAAACCACTCCACATCATCAGGCATCGTGAATCGATCCGCTATCACACGCTTGCACTCATGTTTCCAAAGTGCCATCAACGTCTGGAAAATATATGTTACGTTATTTTTCTGTTAGACAGAAGGTAATTAGCTACATGGAATAAAGTAATAATAATAAGTAATAACAAAGTAATGACTGGTAATAGGTAAAAGCACTGGGGTAGCTTAGTTACTGCAAAACTGTATTACTAGTGTATTATTTGACTTAGGATTTTTAATGTGAAGTCAGACTGTCTGCCGATATTTTTAACCTAGTTATTTTTGACCTCAGCAAGCCTCCTGTGACAGCTCTTGCCACTCAGTTTCATACTGCTGCCACTTCCCCTGTTTGTCACTTACTCAGTCATGCATATTTGTCCTTGGAAAAATCCTGCATGTGTGACCAAAAAAATGTTTCTCCAGTGGAAATCTCAACATGTTCTCAAGTTTTTCTTAACTACTTGTCATGTTAGAAATGAGGTAATTAAGCATGCAAAATACATCTCACCTGGACAGAGGTGACAACTTCAGCATTGGTGCTGAGCATGCCTTGCCAGATCCTGGAGAGATCCCTCAGGTTAAAGATGTAGTGGAACTTTGCAGGAGTCGGAAGCATCTTGACCTTAGTCAGCTGCCAGAGACGACGCGTGAGGGAAACCAAACGAGGTACAGTGCTCTGGACCTCCTCGCTAAAACCACGTCCTGTGTAAAAGTGGCCCTCACCGATCACGCCTGTGTCATAAAGTCGATGTTTAGAAAAGTTATATATTTTTTTCCAAAGTAAAGGATACAGTGTGTTTCGTGAAATCACTGTATGGTGGCATTTATTAGTACTTAGTTCATCCCTCTAACTTGCTGTGATATATATATGATTGGCAACTATATTACAAGCACACAACACCTACACAACTGTCTGGAAATGGTAAAATAAGAACAAATAAAATAATGTATGTCTCTCAGGACATACATTATACATTATGCCTTAGACCTTGTCATGTATGAACATGTAATGCGAAGTAATCCCCAAAATATAAATGACTGCAGAAAAATGACTTCTTGCAGTGTTTTACCCACCAAATATCTTGTCTATCGAAGCATTGGAGGGCAGCGTGCAGTTAAAGATTGAGAACTGCCTTTTCAGTCTCTGTGGTATGTCATTACGGCCCCCTCCAGGATGAATCATTGCTGCCAGGAACTGAACATCCACAATATTTGTGAACTCTCCAGGTTTTTCCAGATTGAAGAAACCATTCTGTTCCATCAGCTGCCTGACAATCTCATTAGTCACCTGTGATTGAAAGCAAGAAGCTTAAATCAAGAAAAGTTTTGTTTTTCATTTATTTATCATTAACCAGTATTATGAATGAAAAAACACCAGTAGAAATGTTATAATGACCTGGTCTCCCCACTCATTGATGACAGGCATGTTGATGTCATCTATAAAAATTGACATTTTCTTCCCAGCAGGCGGTCCATAAGTGGTCCCCATCCTCTTATCAACATAGCTCTCAACTGACCTCTAAAAAAAGGAAAAAAGGGAGGGATGAGGCAAGAAAAAGTACAGCGAGATAAAGAAAGAGATCTTTTAATTTCAACTGAAATGTAATTCATCACAGATCATCAATATCACACATGTTCATATTCTTTAATGGCAAATGAACACAGTCATGGTGTTGGTTTTCATTATAGACCTGCTCTGTGCATAAGGCATTGCCAGGTTGGCAATGCCTTATACAACTGCCCCCTGCCTTGCATTGAAACGATTACTTTCTTCCTGTCTTTGGCTGTGTGACTGCTGTCTACTCTTACTACTTCAGCTGTATCTCATCACTCGATCGGTCCCTGAGTGTGCGCAGTAAGGAGCCTATAATATGCCTTGTTACTCAGCTGTATTCCGCCCTCTTTCCTAGTTTGTGTCTATTTTGGTTTCACTGTACTTTGCATCCATCCTTCATATCTTTTGTTTTTGGTTTTACTACTATTTGTATAAGCCTTCAGCTAATTCCTGTGTTTGATCTCTTGGTGTTACGTTCTGTTGCATCAGCTTTCATTTTTAAAGTTTGCTCTTTATTCTTGTTTACCTGCCTGTGGTGTTCTCCCCTCTTTAACTGAACGCTCCTTTTAAGTTAAAAATTCACAGAGTGACACACTTCTGTTTCTTCTAAATTAAGAGAAACGTAGGCAGGTGACCTGCTGCTTTACCTGGAACATTAGTGGTGTAGTAGCAGAAGAGAAGTTGAGACTCTTGCCTATGTGGGTCTCAGGGTCATACTTTGACATGTAGCTCTTGATGATAACAGTCTTGGCTGTTCCTTGCTCTCCAATTAGCAAAACAGCCTATAACAAACATATTTAGATTTGCCATCAGTCCAAATTATCCCAACTAACTTCCACGTTATAGGATAACATGAGAAGGACGACAGTAGAACAAGACCGCGAACAGTTAACTGTGTCCTCCAATGCAAGAGAGGCACGTCTACGGCATATTCTATGAGGAAAGATCAAAGGGAAAGTAAGAGCATATCCTCTGCGTCTGCTGAGCATAAACACATGATGCTGGTTTTGTAGTTACATTTAAATGTTTATCCAAAGTTTACTTCAGGTTGTCTCTCTGGAGAAAGTACATGACTCATTGTCAAAGTCTAAAAACAGATGAGACCTTCATAAATGTAAATATAACACATCAGAGCTGCTTTTCCACCATCCCTGGACTCGCACCAGTTTGCATACAGGGAGAACCGGTCAACCGAGGATGCGATCGCCACAGTGCTGCACACATTACTGAAGCACTTGGAACACAGGAACACCTATGCACGGCTCCTCTTTGTAGACTACAGCTCGGCTTTTAATACCATCCGGCCATACAAACTCCGTCCCAAACTCCACCAACTGGGACTTAACTCCTCTCTGTGCAACTGGATTGTGGACTTCCTCACTAACCGTAGACAGAGTGTCAGAGTGGGTAAGAACACCTCTTCCACCCTTGTGGTCAACACCGGTGCCCCTCAGGGGTGTGTTCTGAGCCCTCTGCTATACACTCTCTTCACCCATGACTGTATTTCCTCTGCGCGTCCAATCTCATTGTTAAGTTTGCAGATGACACTACAGTGCTCGGACTTATATCCAACAATGATGAGACAAACTATAGGACAGAGGTGCAACAACTAGAGTCATGGTGCCACGACAATAACTTGGTCTTAAACACCAAAAAGACCAAGGAGATCATTGTAGATTTCCGGAAGAGGGGTCATAACAACCATCTGCCTCTCTTCATTGGCAGTGAGGCGGTGGAGAGGGTGAGCAGTTTTAAATTCTTGGGGGTAACTGTGACCGAGGACCTGTCCTGGGGCAACCATATCACCTCAGTTGTACGGAAGGCCCAACAGCACCTCTACTACCTGAGGAGACTGCGGAGCGCACACATTCCCAGATCTCTGATGTTGAACTTCTACAACTGTGCCATCAGCAGCGTTCTGACGTATGGATTTCTAGTGTGGTTCCCCAGCTGCACCAAGGCCGATCAGCAAGCACTCCAGCGGGTGGTGAAAGAAGCTGGCAGAATTATTGGAACAAGTCTGCCAGAGATCAGTAATATCTTCCCCACTCGCTGTCTGAGGAGGGTGCACAGTATCCTGCGGGACCAACATCACCCTGCGCGCCACCTTTTCCATCTGCTGCCCTCAGGGAGAAGGTACAGGTCTATACAGGCCAGAACATCCAGACTGGCCAACAGCCTGTATCCACAGGCTGTGAGGCTCCTGAACTCTCTGCCCCCCTCTCACGGACAATAACCATATCCAACTTCTTAATAGCAATGAACTGGTCTGCATTGGTGCATCATATCTTTATTCTCTTCCCCCTCCTGCCCCCCCCCCCCCCTCTTTCTTAAACAGATAACTATCATATCTGATATCATATCTCACAGTACAATAATATTGAATGGGTTGCACTGTTGTATTTTGTCATGTTTCTCAGGTCTTTGTCTGAATTTCTACGAACATTATTGCTAAGGATTGTCTTATTGCATTGGAGTCACACTGGTTAAATATGTACACTTGGGTTTTAAGGGGTATTTATTATTTTCTTCTTTTTTTGGGTTGTATGGAAGCCCCAAACGCAATTTCATTGTTCTTGACAATGACAATAAATAAATACTATAGAGGATTTAGAAAAGACACAAAACACTCAAGAACAGGAAGGTCAGATTAGACTTTGAAAACAGAAAACAGCTAAAAAGAGCCTTGCACAATTATCCAAAAACTAAAACTAAGATTGCTTGTGCCAGAATGATGGGAAAAGAAAAGTATGTGGAACATCATCACATTGTCTATCAAACATGGAGAAGGCAGTTTAACACTACGCGTTAAAGCATGCGCGTGTAGGCTGTCACTGGAAGCGGGTCACTAGTGTTTGCTGATGATGGAAATTACTCTAACTGGTAACCATACCTTGCCTTGCTTTGCAATAGTCTGGGTTAGGAAGTCTGTTCTAACGTTGTCCACATTGGGGACCAAAATTGAGCTGTACTCTGGTGTGAATTCAGATGGATAAATGTATTCCTCCACTCTGGTGTTCCAATGGACCCAATGACCTGGAAAAATATTTAATTTAATTTTAATAAGATAAAGCTTGTTGTAGAGATCAACACAAAATATGAAAAAAAAAAAATTCAAAATAATATTAATCCAAGGATATTAATTTAGTTTATCACTAAAAATAATTTTATATACACATATGTACTTTCCATAAGTACAACATGAGACATAATGTCTCTGCCTACCCAGTAACTAAACAACGCCATCTGACTGAAAGTTAATGAAGCCATGCTTACCATCTGCTGTGACATAGTAGTCAAACATGGTGTCCTCACTGTCAGGAGGAATGTCTGGCAAGTTTAGATGAATACTCTTGTTTCCTCTAAGCCAGATTTCCATCTTCCTCCGATCATCCAGTTCAAGTACGGCCCCAGCGCTCCACATTAGTGCAAAGACATAAAGCCGCTCCAAGAACTCTCTGGATAAATCGCCACACTGCTCCTGTAAATTGATATCCATTTTAAGATGAGGAAATTCAGGGATCATTAAAAGAACCCAAAAAGGAGATGAGCACTTCATAAGTTAGGCCAAGTCTATGAAACTGAACATACAAAATATATGGACAAAACTATGAGTCCCAGTCTGTATAATGGGTATAAATGTGCTTAAAAAGGTTTTGAAAACATAAATACAAGTTGGTCTCACTATAAATTTCCACTTCTACTTCAAGAGTCACTTATCAATGAAATATTCATTAGCTGCTGTTCGTGTGCATGTCCAGTGGATGGGAATACCTCACCTTAGGTGGTATGAGTCCCTGTAGCATGTTTATGCATTGCATGATTACAAAGGCCTCTAGCATGTCCATTTTGAACTCTAGTGACTGCACGCAGAAGCGGTAGAGCTCGGAGAAAGACGAAGAGAAGAGCTTTCTCAGTATCTCTGCCTCATGTGGGGACCGTTTCTTCAACCAGCCCTAGAAGCAGCAACAGCATGACTCTATTTAGTCAAAACTACATGCAGTGCACAGGTTTTAAATTATATGATTCACAAGTAAATATTGCCTTAATATACCTTGATTTCAAACTTTTACGAAATGAAACAAAAATAATTACAACCGGTTTTTCACCTCTAGTATGGGGATCCAGGTGAGCACAGAGGAGCTCATGAACACCATGCCATTGCGTGAGACGGTGGCTGGAGAGGCATTGTCGATGTTATGCGGCTCAAATACCACCTTGCAGTTGGGAGCCATTGGTATTCGGTCTCCATTTGCGAGTGTAAGAGTTCTGTTGTCATCCAAAACTGAATTTAGGTTTTCAATCCAGATGGCGTCAACTGGCCCATCCAGCACTATCCAGATGTGCTCTCCTGTGAGGGAAACAAAGTGTTTGTTTACATGATTACGAAAATGAGGTGGTATGAAGACCTTGTGCTGTCACCCTCAAGCAAAAATGAGCTACATTTCTGAATATGAATTTAGTGCAGACAAAAGAGTTCAAAATGTTTTCTTGGCTAACCAGCAATCATGAGCTATCAGTTTGCAAGAAAAACAACAACTGAGTCATTTATTTTGTGGAATTTTAAATATGAACAAAGAAATCCGTTTCTCCTCGCTCTCCTCCCAGTTGGAAAACATCCAAAAACAGAAACACAAAAGACAAATTGCGTCTGAAACAAGCAAAAGGCTGACGTTGTCTGACGTTCAGGCAATATCGCACGATAAAGCTGCTGTTTGAATGTGGTTTACACTCTAAATGCTGAGAAATCAGTTCCTTTGAATATGACTACTACATGAGCACGTGTTTTACACAGAAGTTACCAGATGATACACACAAGGCTGTTTCTGCATCAGTTAAAACACAATGAGCGTGGACAGCACACAGCTGTTTTCACAAAGTACTTCTTTTCTTTGAGGAATATCTACTTGACCCAGGAGCTGCTGCCCTGTCACATTGCCACATCTACTTTTCTACACTGGAATTCACTCTGTCCAAAGTAGCAAGCTCTGCAAATGAACAGGAAGTAGCAGCAGGAAAATAATGCAAATACGCAGAGAACACCCCACTCATAGATATGCAAAACACCATCAGAACAAGTAATTAATAGATGAGATGTGTACTTAGACGCATAAAAGCAAACATGGAATGCATACGCAATTGCCCGCAGACATTTTTAATTATCCGTGTAAGCTTAGAACTAAATAGGAAGATTAAACAGAGCTTTGTTTCCTTTGAACCTTCCAACGTTGTCCCAACGTATTAATACTTAATTGCAATAACCTACTTGAACTGGTTTGTCAAAGTTCTCATGGAAAACAATGTTTACCAATGATTTTTTGCTTTATTAATACCCAAGTGTGACATATGTGCACAATAAGAAACTTTTTGGACCTTTCTTTGCTCTCAGTGTTTTCCTCCACAGTGTAGAGAAGATGCCATCAGTCCAGTCATTTGTGGCCACATCTAGTCTGCCAAACATCTGAGGTGCAGTAATGGCTTTGGGGTTCATGCGCATCTCTCTGTGAGAATGACCACATTCTGGAAGAAAATTAGATATTAGCAGAAACATGTTCTGTTTTCCTAAAGTTAATATAATGGATAATATAATACTTTAATGGAGCAATAATTATATTAAACACATGACAAGGTCACAAAAGTAACAATATTACCCTAAAAATATGTAGATTTAATAAGATACCCCATAAATTAAATAGATATCTTGTCCCAGTATGAGTATATTTCTTCGGTTATTCTGTTCACATATTCGTGTCTACAGTACAATAGATTCAAAACAAGCTTACCACAAGTTGGTGTCTTTTTCTTTAAGCTCACATGCGACAAAATACACTAAATCCTACCTGTCATAGCTTTCATAAGCGTGTGTATACAAGTTGTCTTTCCAGCCCCACTGGGCCCCAGGGCCATCATGCCATGTCGGACTCTTTGAGTCTCGTACAGCTGGATGACCTTTAGCTTCCAAGGAGGATGGTTGATTAGGCCTGCATCCTCCACCTGAAGAAACAAAGTAGTTACAATTCCAGCTATTTTTGTAACAATAATGCTTTTACTGTATTTACAAGTATAATAACTTAGTATACAGTCGTGGTAAAAAGAAAGCACACCTTCAGTCAATTTTAAGGTTTCACACATCAAAACAGCTTTTTTTTTTAAATTAAAAAAATGAAGCCAAAATGCAGAAGCAATATATGAAAAACTAAACTAATACTATCAAATGCACTTGCTTAACTGATCAGCAACAAAACAGCATAAAATCTAAAAGTTCCAACTTTTAATTGCATCTCTCCCTTCCTGCACTGTTTTTCACAGGTCCTCGGGTTAGGTCCTTTACAAATAATAAATGCCACTATTTGTATCCTTCTCGATGTCCTGTCCTGAGGTCTGACATGACAAATACGGCGGCCTCACTCTCCATTAAGCTTTTGGACCGTCTTACTCAGCCTTCGCATTTCTCTTTCTGCCTCTTTCCATTGTTTCCCCTTCCTGTTCCCCCCATCTTGCAAACTTGGTGTTACTGTGGATTTTCACTCTCCTCGTCAATAACAGATAAATCCATTCTCCAAACTCTCCTACCTGTTTGTCAATGGCAGCTTCTAGTTCAGGGTAGCCCGCTTTGTCAAGTTGGATGCCCGGGAAGAGGTCTTCAATCAAGCTCAGAAAAAGTGGCTCATCCTCATCGATCTAAACGCATGTGCACACAAATTTGCAAAACCCAGTGAAAACATGAAATATCAGCATGGTTATCTTTTTGATGCCCTATTGTGTACATTGTAGACTTACCAGTTTTGAAAGGTTCATGTCCCTTAGAACCCTCATGACAATGGTAGACTCTGTATCACTGGGGTTGGCTCGCTTGGCTGCTCCCAGAATGTTGCGCAGGCCAAAATCATAGTGAACCTGAACATTCATAAATATCATTTTAGTTTCATTTACATTAATGGAAACCCGTGCAACCTTGTTGTTAAGTCATGTGACAATGATACCTCCTCCAAACTAACTCCTTTTCTGACCCCATTCCTACAAGCATCACACTCTATTTTCAGCAGCCTGTGTGTCAGTAAGACTTTTTATGCATTTTTAGCTGCAGCTTGTTTATGCTCCCACACTCAGTGCAAGTTCTACCACTTTCCACTTGTTACTGCAAGGTTAAAAGGAAGATCTTCAATTTTTATACCTGCTTGGACAGTTGCTCCTCGCACAGCTTGTAAAGCGTGAAGAATTTGCGTGCAAGCTCCATGTTGTCGATAAACCCACAACTGGCCAGTTTTACCCTAATAATGATTTGACGGTCTGGAACCATCATGGCCACGGAGCGGAAGTTGATCTTCAGGTTTTCAGGAAGCTCCTGACGACCTGCATAACCTGGATTCTGATTACATGGAGAATAACAAAAAAAAAGATATTAATGGAGTAAAACAGAAATAAAACATTTAATGATAATTAGGAGTAAATGCTACATTGCCCATTCTACTGCATTAGAAATTTAGATCAGTGGTCCCCAACCCCCGGGCCTCGGACCGGTACCGGTCCATGAGTCGTTTGGTACCGGGCCGCGAGAGTTGAGGCTCAGGTGTGAAATGTATGGTTTTCAGGGTTTTTATCGGTTTTCTGCGTTATTTTGTTATCGTTTTTATCGTTAACTCAGTTTTCCTGGGTCTTTTCACGTGTGTTATGAGTAACTCTTCTATTTTTCAGTAGCGGTACTAATTTTATTTTGTTGTATTTTTCCGCGACACCTTAAAGGCCGGTCCGTGAAAATATTGTTGGGCATAAACCGGTCCGTGGCGCAAAAAAGGTTGGAGACCGCTGATTTAGATGACAGACTAGAATGCAACAACAATGAAACTAAATGGATGAAGTTTATACTGGAATGTAGTTCATCTTCATCACAAACGCTATCCTTCAACTTCAGCAGACACAGCCTACAGACACAGCCTGTTTCACAAAGCTTGTCTATACTAATGTACACACACACACACACACACACACACACACACACACACACACACACACACACACACACACACACACACACACACACACAGAATAAAAAAGAGGAAAATGATCTCTGACCCCTCTCGCCACAGGGAGGAATTATTCCACTGTTATGTTTAATGACTTGCCTCAGGACAGCAAATGAGGCAAGGAGATAAAGCGATTTAACTATTACTCTAAGAAATAAATCACATGAAATAGCAGGCAGAGCCCAAAGTTTAATTCAAAAACTGACTTATAAAATATTACATGTTAGAGTTCAATTCCATTTTAGTGTTATTTGTGATTCATTTCAGTTTTCAAGATTAAAAATTTTGCTTTAAAAAAAAAGGAATCATTATGCGATAAATCTAACAGCCAAGAGTAAATATTGATGTCCATGCATGCACAGCATGTCCAGGCACCATCTGAAACAGATACAGTTCATACACTTCAATATTCATTCTGTTAACTAAGGTGTCATTTACTGATGTTAAGAACTGCCTCCTTTAGATATTTCCTCTGACCAGTCAAATAGATATTAGCAGTCTTGTTCTACTTCCATCACTAACCATGGTAAGGAAGATGCCAAACTCTGGGTTCATGTCCACATTGTCTCCATCTGTGAAGACAAAATTTTTGCGACGTTCCTTCTTGCAGGTGAGAACTATCGCGATCTGCTGGGCTGCCACAGAAAGAACTGGGAGGTCGATGCGGTTGAACTCGTCAAAACAGCCCCACGAACCAGACTGAGCCAGACCTGGTAAATCACATAAACACAGAGCTATGGTCCGTCCGCTGCAAACAAATAAGATATCTGACATTACATATTGTGTGATTGTTGTTTTTTTTTATCTGTATTGTTATGATTTATTAGCAAAAAAAACCCCCCACAGGTCTATAACCTGATAACTCAAACCCTTAAACTTCTTTCTGGGTATATATTTATTGTCACGGTCCTGGGTCGGTGACCCAGTGTTTTGAGTTTTGTTGTGTTTTTGATCTTTGAGTTCATCATGGTTATCACTGTTAGTGTTTTGGTTTCTGTCTCAGTATTTCTAGCTCTCTAGTTTGTTGCTCTGTGATTTCTAGTTCTTGTTCCCGTGTCCCTATGTTCAGTGTCAAGTCTGTGTCTCTGTGCCTGTTGTGCTTCCAGTGTGTCTGGTTTTGCTTCACCTTGTCTCGTTAGCTCTGATTTCTCCCCGAGCTGTGTTTCCCTCCTGTCTCCCGTTCCTTGATTGCTCCAGTCCTATGTTTTCCTTGCTCTGTGTCATGTCGTACCCTCACCATGCTGTCTGTTTTTTCCCCTCCGAATTCCTGAGGAAATTCTAGTTCCCAGTCCTGGTTTGTTTTCCTAGTTTGTGCTTCTTAGTTTTTAGACTCAAGTGTCCAGTTTAGTTTCGAGTTTTCTAGTTTGGGGTTTTGGTTTGTTTTTTGTGAAGTTTAATCTTTATGTAAAGCCTCCCAGCAATAAACGCTGCCTCTTTAAGTTGATTCTGTCTCATGAGTTCTGCAATTGGTACGTACTTCCTGCTTGCCACACAGTCTATCATGACACTTATAGCATGACTTTACTTAGTGATTCTCACCTTTAAATATTCTCCCCAAGCCTCTGAAGTCCATCTGGTCAGAGCAGTTGAAGACCACAACGTACTTTCCCAAACAGCGACCCATGTCTTTTATGGTCTCGGTCTTTCCTGATAACAAAAGGCAACATTTTCACAGCCTAAACTGAAATGCAACCATTTGTATGCTGATAGAAAACCTGACAACAAATGATCTCATAATAGAAACTATCAAAGCTAACTCTGTAATGAAGCCGTTCCCGACTGAGATAGCTGTGTTGTTTGATTCTTCATTTAAATGACCTGAGTTGTATAGAGTCTAGAAGGGTAAATTATCTATATTTAAAATGGTTAAATTCAATTACTTTAACACTTGGCAAACCTTGGAACAGCTTTTTAACATGTCTGTCCCATTCCGAAATCATAAGTTTTGCATACCAGTTCTAGGTTTTCATTCCTATAAAATGTTGCATTTTCTTTTTGATTCAATGTAATTTCCAAAAAATAGATAGATACTGTGTGACTAATTTTCATACCTGTTCCAGCTGGACCAGCAGGTGCTCCACCCATACTCATACCAAGAGCTTGGGCTAAAGTGATGTAACACCTGTCCAATTGTAGACACACAAACATAATAACAATCTAATTTCATAAATCATGAATCATTTCATAAATTCATAAGCTAATAATATCCATACTCAAAATGACCACAAATGAACGTGATCTCATTCTCCACAAGGTTCAAGGATTAAGCTTTAGAACCCTGCCCCTGAAGCTGATGGGGATTCAGCGATTTGCTCAAGGACACATCAGCAATCAGGATGACTGACAACAGGACCTAGCCCTCTGGTCACTGGTCTCCATCTTCATTACAATGACTGACCTCGGGGTAAAAATCATGGTAAAGCTGGGATACTGACATATTTTCTCTCCTTCAGCAGATACAGATTAATTCTGACCACTCCGTAACCAGATTTACTTTTTTCATCCCAACATCTTTTTTGCCACAATTTAGGACCACTTGCACCTTTCCCTTTTTTAACGTGATGTGGTGGCAGCGAGGAGGTAGGACAATGATAGCAAGCAAAACAAAGAAGAAAGACAGCATGAGAAAATGATGGAAAAGCAGAGCTGTCTTGCCGCCTCTAGCCATAAGGCCAGCATGCCACTTTTTTGGAGAGCTGCTGTCTGATGTTAGATGGTAACTCCCTCCCTAGTGCTGTCCTCTCACATCTCCTCCTTGTCTCTCCTCATCTTTTTTTCCCTCCTTGTCTCTTCTCATATTTTACCCTCTGTGTCTGTTACTAAGACACTTCTTGTTGTTGGACTGCTGTCTCCCTCACTCTGTCTGATCCTCTTTCCTTTTCTTTCTGTCATTCATATCGCCTGTTAGTTACAGATGTGATGATCGCTGTGTAAGACTGCTTCATCCTGCTTCATCCTGCTTCATCCTGCTTTCTAATTCCTCATCCTCACAGTCCCCGAGTTGTCTTTTTTTCTTTGCTTTACAAATCCAGTCATTAGTCAACCACAGAAAGTTTAATCCATTTCATGAAACTTGACATTACAACGAACAATCACGGTCAAGTTTTCAGCATAAATCTAGAGTGGGTTCCTAAAATAACTGATGCATGATGCAGCATGCATTTCTGACTTAGTTACAAAGGCAGGGTCACGTTTTCTGTACAGTCACTCCAAGGTTACACTGTCTTTGTTTAAACTGCAAAAAAGAAAAGTTATACTGCTGTTTTTTCCTTTATTTTCTTATTAGTGTGTGTGCATATGACTTTTGCCATTATGATACATTTTACTGACGTATGTCTGCTTTACCTGTCCGTCAAAGGTGTAATGACAAGCCTTTCGGTACACCCCAAGAATTCATTCTGGTAGACAAAGCCCACATCTGTAATGTTGATGATCATCTTGTCTGAGTCCTCATTGAAGTAGAAACGGCACTGCTTCAGCCATTCAAAGTCACTGGAGCTTTTGACATGCAACCGGCACTAGGTGGAGAAAGGGTAGCGATAAGAGACAGGGAAAGAGGGAAAGAGAGGGCAGAAGGAGACAAGGGGATGGAAACAGAAGTGAAGGGAGAAGGGAGATGGCATGTGAAGAATAAGAAATTGAAGGGCACCACTCAGAAGATTATTTGAAAAGAGAGATGAAAGCCAGATAAAAGAGGGGAAGAAAGGTGGAAGGGCGGGATGTGTGAGGAGGGATTTCGGTGACAGGAGGGTAACATTAAAAGGGTGGAAAGAGAAGAGAAGCAAGAAAGTGGAGGATGAACGAAGAGGTCATGAAGTGAAATGGGAAGAAAGGAAGGTAAAGGATAGGGGAGAGTGAAAAGGAGGGAAGAGAAAAGTCCAGCAAGTTAAAATGATGCAAATGGGAAAAAGTACAAAATGAATTAGAATAGTAATGAATAGAAGAGATAAAAAGCAGAATATGTGTGAGAAAAAATACAGTGGGGGTAGAAAAGTAGCAGTGTGATATATTATTGGAGAGGAAATAAGGTGAGGCAAAAATGTGTTTAGAAACAAACAGCACAAAGGAACATGAGCAGGACAAATTAATGGTATGAGCTAAATAAATACAAATGATTTTAGAAAGAACTGAAAAAACACATCCAAATAAAGTTTCTTCAAACTGCTTCTATTAACCTTGGGGTTCAGCAACATGCTTATTCTGCCTTAAGTGGAGATTCAAACACAGTCGTGACTTTAAATATTACTTGACTGCCATTAAAACCCCTCTGACTACTTTCGACAGAATTTACTCGCTGCAGTAAACAACATTTTGTATTCTGACATGGCAGCCCTTGGGAGTCTGAATATCAAACACAGTTTACAGAGTGGTTGCTATTTTGAGCCGGAGATTCTAATCTTGAACAGAAATTGCAAAGCGTTCATGTGCACAGTTCAGCGTCAGTCTAACTGATCCCAGCTCGGATGTCTCTGGCCTCTTTTCACCGAATGATCAACATACTCACCAGTTCATCAAATATGTCCCTCTGGTGGACATGAATAGTGATGAGGGTCTCATACTTGGTCCTCTCCACAGCCTCCAAGTCTCTTGTGGTCATGTCAATCAGGGTGTTAAGGAGATCCAGGAAGAACTGGTTGGTTTTGGACATGATGCGACGATCGTATCGGGCATTGGTCAGAGCTTCTTCTGAGTCCCTTGTCCAAATCATCTGAATACCCAGTAACCCCACCTACATTAATGTGCAAAAAACAAAACACATCAAAATGGTCAAATGTACCGATGACCTTAGAAATCTAACTATTGTTTTGATGAAGGAATACTATAGCAGTTTAGTACCACACCCCAAGATTTACAGAGAAAATAACAGCCCCAATTCCCAAAAGTTGGGATGCTGAGTACAATATAAATAAAAACAGAACGCAATGATTTGCAAATCTCAATAACCCATATTTTAGTCACAACAGAACATAGAAACAATAACAAATACTTATAGAAAACACACCCTTTTAAGAAAAAAAAAAAAACTTGTTCACTTTTAACAACAGTCAGTAAACATCTGGGAACTGGGGAGACCAGCAACTGTACGTGGGTAAGGAATATTGCCCAGTTCTATTCTGACACAGGATGTTTCCAGGTGGTGAACAGTCTGGACTGATGTAAGGCAGTTAAAAACCCAGAGTATCCTTCTACAAAGTATGCGATTTAGCTGAAATATGCAGGTTGTTCCCTGAAAAAGACAGGGACATGACTGGATTGGAGCATATTTTGCTCTAAAACATTTAGATACTTTTCAGCAATGGTGGTATCTATCCAGATGTGGAAGCTGCCAGTTTCATAGGCACTAATGCACCCCCATACCATGAGAGAGAGCAGAAAAAGACAGATTGCGTGAGGATGTGGTCTCCATGTTGTATAAAAAGTTTTCCACATTGGCTCAGTCAGTGTTAAATGACCTCTGGTCCAGAGAATATAACGGTGATTCTGGATCATGTTCACACATGGCTTTTTCTTTGCAGCATAGAGCTTTAGCCTGTACAGCAAACTGTGCTCCCACACATTGATTTTCTGGAGGTGTTCCTGAGCCCATGCAGTGATTTCCATGACAGAATCAGGTCTGTTTGTAATGCAGTGCTGCCTGAGGGTCTGAAGCTCGCAGGCATCCAATATTGATTTTCAGCCTTGCACACAGAGATTTCTCCAGATACTTGAAATCTTTTGATATCACGTAACGTAGATGACGGGAAATTCATATTTGCAATTTTACACTAAAGAACATCATTCTGTAATTGTTCTACAATTTTAGTTTTTTGCAGATTAGTGAAACTCAGCCCAATTCTTTCATCTAACATGCTCTATTTATATCCACTCATATTACTGAGCTGTTGCCAGATATCCTAATTAGTTGCAAAATGTTCCAGCTGTTTTTTTTACTACCACTAATTTATCCAGACTCTTGTTGGCTGTCGTTGTAGTCATTAAATTCAAAATGAGCCAATATTTTATCTCAAAATAGTTTTCTCAGTTTTAAACATTTGCTAGATTTATTATATGGGTTTATAAGACTTGCGAATCATTGCATCCTATTTTAACTTACATTTTGGAGCATCCCAACTTTCTTTAGAATTTATTTTGGAGTTTATTACAATGTTCATAGTAGATTGCCTCTTTAGGCTACACAGGTTTCTGTTTTTGAGCAGCGCCGTCCTTGCTCCACAAGGATAGCCAGTTGTGGTCGAATCAATGTTTTAAAACGTTTGCGGATTAGTTCCTGGATTTGGACAATGACTTACTTGAGATGGGAAGGAGTTGAGGAAGTCAATTAGCTGGAAGCCAGAGTCCTGGATAGCCAGAGCAGCTTGTCTGATCACAAGGTGCAAAGACCTCTGGGATTCTTTCAGCAGAGCATTGAGCCACACCTCCACGTTCCCTTCAGCTGTGACGGGACGGTCGAGCTCCACAGTCTCTCCCTCGCGTGATGACACGGCCAGAATGCGGTCATATATCTGTGAAAGGCAACACTGATTAGATCGATTATTATAACTACAATGATGAAGTTATTTTTCTTATAAAAAGTATATTTTTCAAATTCTACATTACTCTGATTAGTTCATTCAATTTGACATTAAAGCAGCTATTATATTTTATTACTTTCATGTTACAATCACATATTTTTCAGAAGGTTAAGTGTTTAAGATAAACAACAAAAAAAGAACATAATCCACCTTTTCATGAAACTGGACACACTTGATATTGTCAAAGACATTGAGAAGGTGGGCCTGGATGGTGTGGGAGTCAGAGGCCTGGCCCAGGATCTCCAGCAGGGCAGGATCAGAGACAAAGAAGAAACGAGGAAACAGCAGACGCTTCTTCTCCAGATAACTGTTTGAGCACATAATTTAAAAAAAATCAATACAAAGTATCATCTGACAGACAATACAATAAACCAGATAGTTAACTGTACAGCATAAAAAAGGAAATCAGTCACTTCACTTACCCTCACTACTGATTATCGTTTAAAATCTTCTACCTTTCTTTTGGTGGTTAAGTTCATTAGAACCTAAAAATAAGGGCCATGGTGGTGTTTTAAGTTTTTTCTACTCACCCTGTTAGAGACTTCTGACAGATCTCCAGCTGTTCGAGGAGATGTGGAAGCAGCTGTCCCATGGTCTCATCCCCCACGCATGACTGTACCACATTGGGCATTTCATGGGCTCGCATCATGATCTTCACCCATGACTTATCAATGTTAGAGAAACGCTTTGCTTCCTAAAAAGATTGAGTTAGTCAATTATCTCATGATCACTGTTTGACTGTTTTATTATTTTATTTTGTATTTGGTTATTTCTTTTAAATGCTTGGACGCTGTTTGGCGCTGATTTTAGAATTAAGCTCGTAAAACAATCTTACAAAGGCAACATTTCACTATTATTTCTTCTTCTTTTAAATGTCAAAACACTGTGGCCTGAAAACATTGCCTGGACCAGTGATTTATTTTGCTCAAGAGACTGAAATATAATTTTTGAAAATGAAAATAAAAGAAACTCAACGCCTGGCACATTAATGCACTACTGCACCTAAACACCCAGAATATTGTCCAGAAATCTGATAATGATGTAAAGATAGAATTTTTTTATGTAAATTGTGTAACTGCAAATGAGTAATTTCAGTTCAGTTCACTTGTTTGCCTTTTAAACTGAAATTGCCTTTTAAACTGCATTTGGAGTCCATGTTTAAGCCTGATAACCAATATGAATCACATCCTGAAATGTTGTTCACCTTAGGCAACTGTTTGGCGATATCTCCACCCACAAACACAGCCTCCAGATAGATCCACAGGTTCTGGACAGTCATCCAGTGCTCGATAATATCAGTGGTGTTGGAGAGATTCTGAACCCACTTCTGAATCTGGGCTTTAAATGGGGTGTTGTACCTGAAAAAGAAGGTAAATCTTCACGTTCGCCTTACTTAGGGACGCACACCTGTGTGTGGCTCGTCTAATGTCTAGATTTCCCACAGCTGTGGAAGAAGATCATCACTACCGACACTAATGATAATGACACTCAACACTGCCGTACCGGTTGCTCATAAGGGATCCCAAGATCATTAGGCTATCCTCCATGCTGGCAATGATCTCTGATGTGCTGTCTCCTCTCAGCAGCAACTCCCCACGGGTCTTAAAACTGGCAAATGTAAAAGTCTTGTTGTCCCACTCAGCGATCACTTGCTTCAGCTTTTGTTCAATATCACGCTCTTTCACAGCACTGATGCAGATATCCTGCACAAGAATCCCGCCCCCAAATGTTTTTAAATGTTAGCAATAAAAATGCTGATGGCAAACAGATGCATATGCACTGAAAAAACAGGATTGGTGTTTGCACTGAACAGGACCACCTATCAGTTAATTCAATATATTACTCTTTAAACTTTTTAAATGTTTTCATTTCCTCCAAACAATTTTCCAAACTTGTATTTTATTTGGAATTTATTATATCAAATAAAAAAGAAAACACATTGAATTAGCAGCTAATGATTCGTTTGTACCTCAATCTCTTCTTTATACTTGAGTAGAGGAGCCTCCATTATGTTACGCAGCTTGAATGTATCAGTTTCCACCTCAAAGGTATGGCCAGTCACCTGGATACAAAACAGGACAAATTACAGCTATTATCATTATCATTAGGTTCTGGTGATGACTTGATTTCAGTCAATAACATTCAGTTGCAGTGCTACACCAGTGGCCATGTTTCACTAACCTCCGTTATCCTCTTCCAGTGCCGGGCCATCATTGCTTTGTTAGTCATGAGTTCCAGCAGGGGGCAGCACTCACTGAATTCATCAATCGTTTTCTTCAGATCCTGAAAGGCCTGCCACTCTTTCAGAGCACGAGGCAGTTTTCGACACCTGGTAGTTCACAGGACGTGACAGTCAAACTCATATTTATTGTCTTCTTTCTAAACTACACTTTAGCTTTGCTGAAGTCAAGTAAAGTTGACATGAACTAGATTAGATGTATAGTTGACATTTTGTTTGTTAAAGGAAAAGTATTACAACACACTTCAAGTTTGGTATTAACGCTACAAGAGTCATTGGATTGGACAACTTGTTGAGTATCCTTCCTTACTAGCACAGAGCAAAAGTTCATGCATCAGTGTCTGTTCATAGCTTCACTCAACCAAATCAACACCTCCACAACAGATAGCTGACATTTCTGCCAGAGGAAACAAATATCCTCTCTTCTTCAGCTCTGACTATAGCTCTATATTTTCCTTCTGACTGCTTCTAATGTTTATCTAGATTTTCATTGTCAAGTAATCCCTTCCAGCTATATTAAAACTTGTTCTTAATTTCTTTAGGTAAAATAAACTAGCCTGTAGCCTATTAGCCTCTTTCCCCTTCAGTGTCTATTTGACACATGCTGGACAAATGTGACCACATAAAGGGCAAAGATTAGCTTTGCATTGTGAGACTGAAATATTAATGCAGTGTTGATGAAGAACAGGAAGCTTTGTTTCTGCCACTGGAAAAAAAAACAACTTTTTTTGTTGTTATGTAAAACTTTTGGGTTAGTATTTCGAAATTATAACATCTCGAAACAAGTTTCCATATTGTAGCAAGTGAGAGGAAGCAGTTTCTTTAATGCCTGAAAATAAGAGTGATGTTTATGGATGGACTAATGAAAATCATTTAATTTAATTCTGCTTTTTTTTTTTCTCTTTGTGATGTCACCAATTCCTGCAGTAATGAGAGGGCTTGATTACACAGTATGAGAAGGTTATTTTCTCACATAGTCAGTTTTGTTTGTTTCCAGTTCAGCTTCTTTCCTGAAAACGTCTCCTTCTTCATTAACATATTTTAAGCTCATGTTACTACATCTACAGTTAAAAGAGTTCAACAGTTGCTTGAATAAAAAACAAACAAATAAATTGCCAAACCTCGTCTGAAAGTCGAGCAGCTCATTATTAATCTTCTCGATGCAGATGTCAGCCCAGAGGATATCATAGTAGCCATTAACTGTATCGATGACATTGTTGTAAAGGCCGTACAACTTCTGCAGCAGAGCCAGTTGCTTCCTAATCTCCAATAGCTGAGGATGCTGGGTAACAGGAAGTCCAAAGAGCTCTTCGCCTCCCGTGTAAGTGATGTACTTCCTGAACAGGTTGTCAAATCGATTCTGAAGAGGAGAAGAGCTACGATTAGGTACAGCTTACGCTCTGATGGACTTTAAAACATTACACATTTGAGGTAAAACATTTGCAATTATCTGAGTATAATTTATACAGAATAAAAAATCTGTCTTTTGCTAACCATGAAATAGAAACTGTAACAGTATAATAATAGTAATAATAATAATAAAAATATAATAGCTCTTTTAACATCAGTTTCAAGTAACTACTTTTCTGAGGCATCAGGTCAATGCAGGATCTAAATATTTACTAACTGACAGAGAGACAAAATAATTAATCACTAACCAACCTGGAACATGATCAGCCGGTCACTGGCATCTTGGGGTGCAAGTCCCACAACCATGGGACCATCCTTAAACAGAGAGGGAAAAGTGTCATTTTAGTAGCTATTATTAAAACTAACCTTAACTGTAATTAACTGAGCATTTATTTGTTGAATTAAAATAAAAAGTTTAATTGAAACAGAGCAAACAGCCATAGATACTTTACCTTTTCATAATCTTGATAAAAGTGTTGGCAGTCTTCCAGAAAGGTCTCCACATTGCTGACCAGTTCTTCTCTGAAGTTTGGCTGCAAGGCGACCAGCTCGTTCTGCACCTCTGTGCTCCGGGACAAGAGCTTTTCCCAAGTGTAGCGCAGAGTATCCACTTTTTCAGCCTCCTCTTTAGCCACTGACAGTTCATACTTATGGAGCATGGCATAGGACTCCTGTGAGGAAAAATAAGATACTAAGTCTTCCACCTGACAAAAACTAGAATGTGCAAATGTGTAATTATTTCTTTCTGAGCTTCTTGTACAGACTCATAAAGTCAAACAGCTAAAAATGTCTCTTTCCCACTGTGTGTATTTGTGTGTATAAAAAGAGCTTCGATAAATATGTGATGCTGTGGTTTACCTCTATGGGCCCAACTTGAAAATCAATAGATATCTGGTGCTCTCTGATCTCCTTCAGTGCGGCCATGGCAATACGAATATCATCCAGGTCTTTGATCTGTCGATTCAGTTTCTTTCCTGCTTCATCTACAAAAGCAAAAATGTGCTCCATCTCTGAGCGACATTTCCTGTTACAGTAAAGTCCGTAGTCCACCATCCAATTCTTGATTTCAGCAGAGAGGGACATCTTTAAGGGTGCTGGCAGGAAGTAATATGAGCATGCAGAGAGCATCATTTAACTTGCTGAAAATCTCAAAAATCTCATTCATGCCGGTTTTAAATTTGTAACTTAATAAGACCTGTGAATAGCGCCAAGGCTCCTACAGCAATATACTCTGGTTCAGAGTTTACTTCCAGCTCTAGATCTCGATAGAAAAGAATCTGGCTCTCAAACTCCGATAACAAGGGACTCCCTCGATAAATCTGTTCAAAACACAAACAAAAATAGCACTAGTGCGATGTCAGATAAGCAGATTTATATAGAAACCATACATTTCAACGTACTTCCTCATGGTCTCTTCACGGTCTTTCCTCCAGATGTGATGGTAACGGCTAAAGTGATGTAGAGCGGTCACCACTTCCTGCACATTAATATCAACAGGAGAATATGAAATGAAGTGCACTTATAGAAAAATAAAAGACATTTATATTCATTAAATATACAGAAATATAGATGAAAATATCTGTTGTAAATGTGGGATAAAGAAATATAAAAAGTGTATGGCATGATTTAATAAAAGACAGCTAAGTTTGGATTAGTTTCATATAAAAAATAGCTTAATTAAGTGCCATGTACCTTTTTACTGGAGGTGATAGAGGTGCTAAGTACAGAGATTAGCTTGGCTATTTCCTTGTTCTCAGACACACTCTTGTAGTAATTTCTGGCTTGGAACGGGATGGCCTGGATCATAGAAGCTGACATGTCTGAGGTACTGCCATCTGAAAATGACAGAATTTCACAGAAAACACATTGAGCAGAAATGATGGACATTATTCTTCCAAATATTAACTTCTGAGCTTTTAAAATAATTATATGTTACAGGTCTTTTTACAAGAGAACATGTTAATAATGGAATTACTTCCATTTAGTTTTTCTCTCTCTGTATATATAATTTCTAAAAGTAAAATGTGCTTTTCATAGTGGAAATTGATTATCCCTGCCGCTTTCTAATTAAATATGTATTTAATTTGCATTAAATATGAAATTCTTGAATATTTTCCTCCCCAAGCAATATTATGTGTTTCTGCCCCTGGTCAGATATTTGCTTGCTCTGCTGAGCTGTAAAATCGAGTTGTAATTGTATGCTGAAAACAGCAAATCTTAAAATTTTAAAAATGAGTGAGCTGACACAGTTGGGAGCTGTTGAAGGTCTGAGGTTAAGCTATGAAAGTGATAATGTTCTCTATTACCAGCCAAGCTTCTGTATGTTGTTGCTCCGTCCTCTGTTTCGCTCTCAGAGCTGTCTTGTTTCAGTGCTGCATTCGCCTTTCATTCATTTGTCTCTGGAAAGGGGAATGTAAAACCTCCGGGTTTATTTAGTACACTGCTGGACCACGACAATATTAGTTTAAAAGAGCAGTTCTAACAGTTTATTACAGTTATCAAGCTAAATGTCACAAATTGATTTTTCCTTTATTCACCTTAGATATCCTTTCTTTGCTCCACTGGCTGACTCCTTTGCTGACACTGACTACACACTCTACAGCGCGGTTTAGAGCCTGTTGAACCTCCTCCAAAGCTGGAACCATGACAATGTTAGGGATGGAAAGGTCATGTTTACTCTGAAGATTGCATGGTGATCGCTGCTTTTGCCATGGCTGGTTGGGTCACTTGCAGCTTCAGAGGGAGAGAAGGGTAACACACATAAAGTATTGGAATAGACATTTTATGAGCTTATTTTAAATATTTTAGGCCTTTACAGAAATATAGCAAACAATTAACAAGACGCACCAGAGAAGTGTATGAGCGAGGACGTATGTATGCGCTTGCGCAACATCTCAAGGGTGTTGCGTGTCACTTTGAGCAAGGCATCCACATTACGGTGGTTGAAGTAGGACAGCAGCTCCTGGGCTTCCTGCTCCATCACTTCCATCAAGTCCCTCTTCTTCTTCCTCCTCACCAACGGAGAAGAAGGACCAACACTAGCAGAACGTAGCAGCGTGTTCTGGAGAAGGGACGCTCGTCATCACCTAAGAAGGTGACACGTTTAAGTCAATACGAACACCTCACTATGCAGGATATACCAGTTCAGTTCAATGTAATTAATCTTTAGGAATAAGAAATAATGTTTAAATACAGAAAAAAAGTATTTTAAATGTGTGAGAATTACCAAAACCACTTAATAAATATTGATAGCATCTTTCAGATGTCTGCATAGTTACACAGACTTAGTAGAGCAACAATAACCAGCGGATACTTTATTTTATTTGTCTTCGTTTACCCTGGTGTTTGAACAAACTCCTCACAGGTCACAGGCTCATCCTCTGGCAGGACACACAGGTTGGTATGCTCATCTCCTGCAGTACTGCTTCTATTCTAAACTCCACCAGGTCATTCACTCTGTCCATCAGCAACTCAAGATCAGCTAAACAGACAAAAAACCACACAAAAGAGAAAGGGAGGGACACAAACCCACCAAAAATAAGGGAAAGAGGGAAAATCAAGGGGAACTTGTTATGCGTTGAACAAAGGAGAGAACAGTGATAAACAGACAATTCAGTATAAAAAAGCAATGTGTAGAGAGAGAAAGAATCTATTGAATATAGAGTGTTACTTGTGAGAAAGCACCTATGCAATAAATCCATTAATCACACCAGCCAGTGCTGAGTGCAGGAATGTCTCGTGTCAGCGTGTACAGGACGATCTCGTTACATTTTTGCTTACCCAACTTTGTCGATGCGGTCGAGATACTTGTCAATATTCAGAGATGTCCAGTTGAGGGAGGTCAACCCGGTTGTATAGCCTCATCCACCTGTCAAGTAAGTCATGTATGGTATGATGATGGTGATGCACTTTGTAAGCAACCTGCTGTGACAGTCAGTCTCATACCTGTCACCAGTTTAATGCTTAGAAAAGATTCATGACGAAACAAGCAACAATAAAAGGATCTAACATTTTTTGTGTGTTCTTCTGACTTACTAGAGACAACTGAAAATAAAAACATAAAATCAAATGAAATCAAATAAATGAGTCCTATTTGAACTTTTATGTAATCACATGACGCTCGATCATGGGATGCTGGTTGGACTGAAATGCAGGACTTTGCAGAGAAATATAAATCAAAACAAAGCTTTATTAGCTAGCACTGGCAAACATAATTTAGCTAACTGGAGCGCGCACAACATGAAGGATTGACATCGACATGATAAAGAACAGAGGGAAACCATCCATCCTTAGACTACGATGACTGAGAACCTTCACAGACACATCCATCCATCCATTTTCTTACCCTTATCCGGGGCTGGGTCTTGGGGCAGCAGCCTAAGTAGAGAAGCTGAGACCTCCCTTCCCCAGTCACTCCTCCACTACCCAAAGCTCATGACCACAGGTGAGGGTAGGGACAAAAACTAACTTTGAGTCAAGCTCAGTTGCTTTGATCTCTTGCCCAAGATGTTGATTTTTTTATTTTTACCAAGTTCATTTTTTGGGTTAATAAAAAACATTTTTGGACTTACCTGTGCCTGTGTCCTTTACTGTTCGGTCATCACTCTAGGATTCCCAATCCCAGCGGCACCTGCACAAGGGCGGTTCCAGGAGACTAGTTCCAGAGCCCAGCCATTCATCACATATCTAGCCGCTACCTTCAACACTCAACACTAACTCAGGCTCCTTCTCCTGAGAGAAGGTGACTTCCATGTCCATTGCTAGTTTTGGTAGCCGGGGTCGGTCACTTACCTTAGCTACATGTGGCATGGCCAGCTGTTCAAAGACACTCTGATCTTGGCAGCACTCTAGTGTTCTCGTCAACATCACTTGAATGAGATAGATGCATGTTGGAGCATTTTTGCATCACACAAAGGGATGAACTGAATTTTTCAGTTGACATAAAATGGGTTTTTGTCGATTTTAGTCATTTTAAAAATCTGTGTGGAATTTAAACAATTCAGGATGTTTTATATCTACGGGAGTGCAGATTATTAGGCAAGTTGTATTTTGAGGAATAATTTATTATTGAACAACACATGTTCTCAATGAACCCAAAAAATCATTATATCAAAGTGAATGTTTTTGGAAGTAGTTTTTAGTTTGTTTTTAGTTTTAGCTATTTTAGGGGGATATCTGTGTGTGCAGGTGACTATTACTGTGCATAATTATTAGGCAACTTAACAAAAAACAAATATATACCCATTTCAATTATTTATTTTACCAGTGAAACCAATATAACATCTCCACATTCACAAATATACATTTCTGACATTCAAAAACAAAACAAAAACAAATCAGGACCAATATAGCCACTTTCTTTGCAAGGACACTCAAAAGCCTGCCATCCATGGATTCTGTCAGTGTTTTGATCTGTTCACCATCAACATTGCGTGCAGCAGCACCACAGCCTCCCAGACACTGTTCAGAGAGGTGTACTGTTTTCCCTCCTTGTAAATCTCACATTTGATGATGGACCACAGGTTCTCAATGGGGTCAGATCAGGTGAACAAGGTGGCCATGTCATTAGTTTTCTTCTTTATACCTTTCTTGCCAGCCACGCTGTGGAGTACTTGGACGCGTGTGATGGAGCATTGTCCTGCATGGAATCATGTTTTTCTTGAAGGATGCAGATTCTTCCTGTACCACTGCTTGAAGAAGGTGTCTTCCAGAAACTGGCAGTAGGACTGGGAGTTGAGCTTGACTCCATCCTCAACCCGAAAGGCCCACAAGCTCATCTTTGATGATACCAGCCCAAACCAGTACTCCACTCCACCTTGCTGGCGTCTGAGTCGGACTGGAGCTCTCTGCCTTTACCATCCAGCCACGGGCCATCCATCTGGCCCATCAAGACTCACTCTCATTTCATCAGTCCATAAAACCTTAGAAAAACAGTCTTGAGATATTTCTGGCCCAGTCTTGACGTTTCAGCTTGTGTGTCTTGTTCAGTGGTGGTTCTTTCAGCTTTCTTACCTTGGCCATGTCTCTGAGTATTGCACACCTTGTGCTTTGGGCACTCCAGTGATGTTGCAGCTCTGAATATGGCCAAACTGGTGGCAATGGCATCTGGCAGCTGCACGCTTGACTTTTCTCAGTTCATGGGCAGTTATTTGCGCCTTGGTTTTTCACACGCTTCTTGCGACCTGTTGACTTTTGAATGAACGCTTGATTGTTCGATGATCACGCTTCAGAAGCTTTGCAATTTTGAACTGCTGCATCCCTCTGCAAGATATCTCATTTTTGACTTTTCTGAGCCTGTCAGTCTTCTTTTGACCCATTTTGCCAAAGGAAGGACGTTGCCTATATTATGCACACCTGATATGGGTGTGATGTCATTAGACCAACCCTTCA